AATGGTAACCTGTAGAACTTTTTAAGGTCGATTATGGTGTATGTGTGTATACATACCTATTAACTGATAAATCAGCTTTAACAACAAATAAGTAAACTATCAGGCTTTAATATAACGACGATGATGAATTTCTGGTTTAACCTAGTTTGTAGACTCACCTAGCTGTTGAAACAAGTAAATCAATTCTCTTTAATTGTTCTCCTATACATATAGCCAAAAAAAAACAAACCACTTGGGCACCACAACTGTTATACACGCGATCTATATAGATTTACTACACATATATATATTTATACACCCAGTAAAATTACGTATGTGCGATTTAGAGCCCCGCAAGAATTCACAGGGTTCCAATCCTTTATCCTCAGAAAGTTTCGTTATATCAATGTTTCTAATCGCTCAGTAGCTCATTAGATATGTACCCTCAAAGACTCGCTTCGAAAAAACTAAGGAACTCTGTGGTTCATGCAGGGCCTCATTTCGTACTTTAGAGGTATTCGGACACATGCTATACACCTAGCTTTTAACTTTAAGATAATGAAATCACATAGTCCAAATGTTACTTGCTAACATATCAGATACTCTACTGTACCCACGACCAAAACGAAACGTTTGAAACTGTAATCTAGTCCATAATTAGCTGTAAGAATCCTATTACCAAACTATATAATAGATGTAGTTTTTGTCAAGTAAGTGCTCTGGATGACATCAGAGTGTTTTTAAAACCAGATTCTTACATGTATTTCGTGTAGATGTTTCTGTAGCTCGAACCTTAACCTATACAAAGAATTGTATCTGATGTTAAGCTAATATATTGATGGATTTGTAAAAGTTTATATAGAAACGTTACTATAGGAATCTCCAGCTAGCACCAAAGCCCATTTGCTCCCGCTCACTGATTTAGGTAGTCTCTATACATTTTAGTTATGATACTCCAAATTTTATCTATCCACCTACGCGTTAGGCACTTGAAATCAATCCTATCCAGTTCGTTTGAATAATGAAATACAACAAATGTAAATACACATTGCACTTGTACCTACAGCAACTGGAATACTCTTCAGTGGAACACAAACGTTGTTATTAAGGAATTGTCAATTTATGGTCCAAAGCTACAATAAATAGAACATCATTTGGATGGGTCAGCAGTAAGCTTAACTAAGTTCTAGTTTACGTTCAATTCGCTAACACAAAACCAAAGTAAAACTGTGTGAATGTGTATTTTTGAAATCAAATAAACGAATTACATAAATGTAATCTTTTCATAACGATACTTTCGAGATTTTCTCGAAGATTACGCAATGATTTCCTTGGTCGTAGTAGCTTTTAATTAGTTTAACTTCTGGCAGCTGGGAAACCAGGTGCTCCAGTTCCTGCTCCTCGAAGACGTGGTAGTAGCGCAGATATGTGGTCTTCTGCTCATCCTTTGTCTTCCATGGCACCAGGACGTCCTGCTGCTGAAACTCTGTGCGATTGGTGTGCACAGGGAGTGGTGTATTATTGGGCAGCTGCTGCTCCAGTTCCTGCTGCTGCTTCTGACGTTGTTGCTGCTCGGTGGTGCGTTCTTTATTTACAGCTTTATTTTGCCGGAGATAAGCGGATTTCTTATCATTCTTCCGCTGATCCTTGGCCCAGACATAAACCAAAGCGCGGCCTCCGGGTCGTAGAACTCGAGCCATTTCCTGCAGAGCGGCCAATCGACGCTCCGTAGTAGCCAGGTGGTGAATGACCGCTATACTGATGCAGCCATCGATGCTGGACGATCGCACAGGCACACTGAGACAGTCGCAACGGAAGACATTCTGTCCCTTCCGACGACCCACAGCGAGTAATCCCTGGGCCCGGTCGCAACCGATGGCCAGGAGCAGCGGATTGCAGCCCAGGTACTTGCCATTGCCGCAGCCAATGTCCAGCACCAGTGATTGGGGATCAAAGGAATCCAGAAATTCCGCTACTTGTGGCCAGGGTGTATGTCGTGTTTCGCTAAAGTGATCAGCAATCTTATCGTAGACCGCGTGGACATTCTGTTGTTCCAAAGTTACGGCCTGAGCAGCCAGTGAGGCACTTAGCTCCTGTGGCACTTTTGTTTGTCGAGTGTCGCAAAGCGTGGGGTAGGAACAGTTGCAGGGACCTCTTCGCAGGCGTCGGAAAGTCAAGGAAGTCCTCTTGCCGCGACATTGTGTGGTCAAACCTCCTGAGCCGCTGGGCACCACATCAATGTGCTTCGGTCGGATGCCATGTGTCCAATCATAGCGCGCCTCACCGGACATGATCAGCAGGGACCGCCGCGGCAATTTGACCTGAACGTGTTCCTCTCCTCGCCGGAAATCCATCACCACATCGGATTGCAGAGACAGCGAGAGAATGGGATCCAAAAACGCGCTATGTGTGTCCACATGAGGAGGTATTCCATGACCGGGTTCGTACTCATTCACTGTCAGCTGGTCTGGAATGCTCCAATCCCAAGTAGAAGCGGTTTTTTCCAGACGCGGCCACAAAATATCACAGGCTGATGGTATGGACTGCTCCAGAGGCTTCGAGGGATCCACATTATTGTTGCCATAAAGGAACTCAAAGCCAAAGTGCTTGACATTACGGTGCTTTAGAGTGCCCGAGCCCTCGGAGGTTCTGCCATCCTCAGCAATGGCCTTCAGCAAAGTGGATTCCTCTTCCTCGCTGACAAAGTCTGAAATCACCAGGAGTCCACCGGGAAGAGGTCTGTCCCACTCACTTTTCCCCGCAAGAGCCGGTAGTTCCTTTATATAACTCAAGTAGGCCACTGCTCCCTGTTGTCCTATGGTGGAGATGTTGTGCATGCCCAGATATATGCGCTCGGAGTCCTCCACGGTGGCACAGACTAGAAAGCAATATGATTTTCCCGGCAACATGGCCACTTGCGTTACCTTTCCACCGGTCGAGGCCGCCGCTTGGAGCAAACACTCTTCTGTAAGTCCATTGCTCAGTCCGACGTTAAGAATCGCCAGGTATGTGGTTGGGTCATCACTTGGGGACACCTCGCAGTCGCTTTTAATGATGGCCAGACATCTGCGCTGCTTTTTATCCGCCTTTTTGGCATTGTTTACCTTTTGCTGCTTCTCCTCAACGTGCATTTTGCGTCCAAGCCAGTGTGTACACACCAAAGTAATTAAATTTGTAGAGTTTTGTCGAATTGGGGAATACCCTTTAAAGTTTAAACCAATAGGTATGGGTTTGAGACTCGAAATTTTATTAAATGTATATAAAAAAATAAATTAAAAATAACTTTAAATAGTAAACCTCAAAAATTGACACGAAAGAACCATACTTTTGTTAAGGATTTTTAGGGCAATCGCTAATGCAAATGCAAATATTTTTATTATATTAAAATTCTAATACAATACCTACACTAGTTGAAAGTGAGAAACTTATAGTACAAATATGGGTGCGTGCACCCCTTGCAGTCTACCAGACCCGGTCAATCATACTGTTGTCCTGGGGCTTCTGGTTCATGGTGGTCAGTTGCTGGTGATAGTTCCGCATCTGGTTGCTACGCCGTGGCTGCGCCAGATACTCGAACATGCTCTGCAGGTGCTGAGACAGCATTTTGCTCAAGTCGCTGGGCATGGGATCTGTCCAGAAAAAGTCGTGGTTGAGGGCTGTATCCGCATCGATGCGTTTCTTAGGATCAAGCGTCAGCAGCTTGTCCAGCAGATCACAGCCGGTGGGGTCCTTGACATATGGACGTAGACGCTCCTTGACGCGACGCTTCTGGTTCTTTGGCAGCTCAATGGTCTTGTACAGCTCCAACTCCTCAACTCCGGGCCACACGTCCGGCGTAAAGGAACCGCACAGCTGCGAGATGAAGGTCAGCTGCTGCTGCTCCGTGTTGCCCTGCATGATGGGCGAGCGGGTCCACATCTCGGCCATAATGCAGCCGGCTCCCCACATGTCCACGGGCGGACCGTAGTTGCGGTCGCCCAGCAGCAGCTCCGGCGGGCGGTACCACAAGGTAACCACACGATTGGTATATCGATTCTTACTCTCGTTCTTTGGAATGCTGAAGGCGCGGGCCAAACCGAAATCAGCCAGTTTTAGGATGCCATGTTTGGTAATCAGCACATTGGCTGCCTTCATATCACGATGCAGGATCTGGGAATGGGCATGGAAAAGGTCATATTACATATTTGCTGCATATTATGCTGACTCACCTTGTTGCTGTGAATGTAGTACAAACCATTAAGCAGCTGCTGCATCACCTTTTTGATCTCTCCCAGACTGAACTTGACATTCATGTTTGACAGAAGGCCGGCCAAATCGTGCTCGCAGAAATCAAAGACCAAATAAAAGGTGGATCTGTAACCATTCGTGGCGGTGGCCTTGGTGCGGCAGATCTCAATCAGATTCACCACGTTCTCGTGCTTCAGCAGCTGCAGGATGCGGATCTCTCGCAGGGCCGTGATGGGGAACTGCGGGAGCATACATAAGTTATACATTTAGTCTATAGAACTTTGGGTTTTCACGCACGCCCTCCTTTTCGTTGTCCATCAGCACCTTCTTCATGGCCACAAACTTCTTGTTGCCCTTCTTCTCGCGAGCCTTGAAGACCTCCCTGCAAACGGAAGAGGAGGGTTTAGGTATGCAAAGCTGGTTATGGTCCACTTTGGGGACTTACCCGAAGGTGCCCTGGCCAATTTTGGCCACCTTCTCGTATTTGTTGCTCTCATCGCAGTAGGGAAAGTCGTAGTCCTCGATGTACTTCTGTTTCTCCATCAGGGACATCGTGCGCGAGGAGCTGGAGCCCACGTTGGAGGGCGTCGATGTCGACGGCTGCTGGAGCATGTGGGACATGTGCGCCATGCTGGAATATGTCTCTATAATTACAGATTTAACAATTCCAGTTCAGAAGCGAGACGTCAAACGAAATGAAAGAGAATCAGCAACAATTGGTGTTGCTACAGCTGTTGGTATCGATAACAAATCGATAGATTAGGCCTACTGAACAGCTGTTTAATCGTTTTTACTTTTCGTTTGCTTGTACACACTGGCCAAGTGATATAACCTAGCGACAATTTGGCCAAGAAGTAAAACCCGATTTAATGAATAAACTATTGAATATAGCGCAGGCTGGGCAGCGCCAGTTTGTCAGGGAATATGCCTTCAAGTCGGATCTGAAAATTAAATGGGTGCGCCCCGAGAAGATCGCGTGCTTCAAGCCGGAGAAGAGCGGCGACCTGGGCAAGCTTCCTCCTCTGAATGCCGATGAACTGCTGCCGGACTATAGGGACTGCAAGGAGCTGGAGAAGTATGTGGCTGTCTTATATATATTAAACGTATTTTAACAATATCAATTCATAATTTGTCCAGAGCCGACGAGTTGGTTAAATCGCAGTTCAAGCTGAGCAACAATGCCAGCTACCTGACCACAAAGTTCTATCGCGATGAGATGGTAAAGGAGGTGCAAAGACATGCCCAGGATTTCGGGTCCATGGAGGCCAAGTGTAAGTACCTTTAAAGAGTGAAAATATTGCAACATCAACCTTAAAGAATTCTTCTCTTAGTGGCCAAAATGACTGCTGTGATCCGCCGCTACCAGGAGCACATGGATACTCATCCGCGCGATAAGATGATCAAGGTGCGTCTTAAGGAGCTCATCGACAAGCGCAAGAAGTTCCTCAAGTACCTGCGACGCTGGGACTATCCACGTTTCGAGTGGATTCTTGAGAAGCTCGATCTGGTGTATAAGCCACCGCCCACACATTTCCACTGGATCACCCGAAAGGAGTCCCTACAAAAGTTGACCGACACCTACTGTGAAAACTTAAAGGAAGAGCGTCTGGAGGCATACCACAAGCAGTTGCAGGCTCAGCAGATACCCTTCCTGGAGGAGGCCATCAAGAAAATGCAGTTCGTGCGGCAGGAGCAAATATCCTGCGATGTGCCCGTTACCGTGACCGAAGAGCAGATCGCCGACTCCAAGAGGCAGCTGGCCCAACTCAAGGAGCTGCAACAGGCGGAGGCAGCCGCCAGCAGCCAGAAACAAAACGATGATGGCTTCAATTAGGCCCGATTCTTTAATGTTACGGTGTCTTACAATAAATGTAAATGCTGATGTTCTTAAATTATACGTTTTATTATACTTTTAGAGTAGACTGGACAGCGTACCACGTGTCATGATCATCTGAGCGCAGACTGGCAAATAAATAATCAGGCAAGAATGGTTGCCTTTTAGAAATGTGAGAAAACATATGCAATTAGAGGAAAGTTCTTAAAGGGTACGGTTCGCAGCTAACGTCTGCGGGGCGAGCCGTGTTTTCGCTTGCCGCCGCTGCTGGAGCTACTCGAGCTGCTCGACGACGAGTCACTGGAGCTGGACGAACTAGACGACGACGAGGAGGACACGGAAGATGTAGAGTCGCGAGAAGTTCGCTTGCGCTCCTTGTCGCCATTGCCCATGGCCCCTTTGCTCTTGGCATCCGTGGATGTGACCTCTTCGTCGCCCCAGAGATCGTACTTTGACAGATCCTCGTCGTCTCCATCGTCATCGTCCTCATCGTCTTCCTCCTCCCTTCGCGGCTCGTCTCGACTGGACCTCCTGGCCCGCTTGGAGTCTTCTCGGTGCTCGCCGTGCTTTCGCTTCTTGCGACGTCCAAACTCATCGTACTCGCTGTCCGAATCCTGGCGGTCCTTGTATTCCACCACGCCTCGATCGTTGTAACCACCGCCGAATCCTGCAAAGGATATTGGGGTGTTTAAGGGGGTGTATTTAAGAGGATGTGGGTACTGCGGGACTCACCAGTACGCTCCTCCGCGTCCGAGAACTTGGGAGCGTTGCACATGTTGCAGGTCTGGCGACGGGCCCAGTTCACATTGGCGCACTTGCTGCACTGCCAATCCTCGGCGCTAAACAAGCCCCGCGACTTGTCGGCCGCCGCCTTGCCGATCTCCGTGCCCAGCTTCTTCTTGCTGGAGCTGCTGCTACTGCTGCTGCTCCCATTGCCCCGATCTCGATCCCTATCCCTATCCCGCTCCGGCTTATCACTGCCATCGCGGTCGCGATCGCATTTATTGCACTGCAATCGGCGGGCGAAGTTCAGATGGCGACAGCTGCAAAATCGTGCAAAAGGTGAGACTCGCAGGACTCCTCGCCCGGTTCGGCCATCCCTGCATCTTTACGGGCACTCACTCGTAATCTGGGCAAATCCAATCGCCAGGCGAAGCGACGCTTCCTCCGCCGCTGCTTCCTGCGCCGCCCGCTGCCACGCCCCCGTTCGAAGTGGACATGGCTGGGCGTTGGCTGAGACCTATGCTAAAGGATAATGCTACAAGTAGTCCTCCACAGGCCTGAGGAGCACCATCTAACCGAAACTTTTTTTTACCAATATAATATTCTGTATACGGTACGAATTAGAGCTGCCAAAACATCGATACCACTATCGATAGTCTGGCTTTGGCCGGCACCGTCGATTGACTATGCCGATAGAACTTAATTTGAAAGTTCTGTGGGGTATTCCATTTTGTTCTTTAAAATTGTTAACAAAAATAATTTATCATTATTGAATTAAACTAACTCCCTTTAAAGGCATTAAGCAGAAAATAAAATATTAAAATTATGATTTTAAAAGTACAACATGTTCCCCAAGTTAAATGATTATTTAAAACTGAGATTTTCAACCATACAAAAATACTTTGAAAATTTCTCTAATTAATTAATAAGCTGACAAAATTCCTTGAGTGCTCAGTAAATTCAGAAATTTAAATCAAATTCATAAACAAAATTGAGTGGAATAGAACACTGAAAATACTTTAAAATGTCCTAGTTTCTTTCAAAAAATAATTCAAGCTAATATAAGACAATATCAATAAAATTGTTCCACGAACTTTTGAAAAATTAATGATCAAAGTTTGATTTGAATGTTAAGAGTAGTGTATTTCTTACATTCTGAGGTACAATGCATATTACACTGTTTAAATGTGTATTTAAAGAAATGTAGAAACGAGCACGTTTGATTGCAAAATATTTTTAAATATTTACATAAACAATTATAAAAAATGTTATGCATTTTGTACAAGGAATTACTCTAAGTATAAACTGTTACAAAAAAGGAACGTTTGAAAAATACATAACTACTGAAGAAGTCTCCAGGCAATTTACATTTTGTCCAACCACTTGGAACTTCACTTGCACTCGCACTTTACCCAATCAGTAAACCACAAGAACTTGTATACTTTTAGAGTTTTATTTCCTTAGTTTACAAACAAAAGCCGCTCCAAAAGTAAACACTGATTTTGTTTTGTCGTTTGTTGGATGGTTGGTAAAAAGTTTGACTAACGCATAACCAGCAGCTTTTGGGAATAGTCGGGAACAGCGACAGAGGTCCTCTTTCAGGCTTACTTCTTGCCAGTGCCGATCTTGGCCTTGGCAGTGCCGCGCACCTTCTTCATCCTGTTGCGGCGCTCCTTGCGCTGCTTGCGCGTCTGCTTCTTCTGCTCGAAGAGACCGTGGCGGGCCAGACGGTACTTGGGCTCGAACTTCTTGGCGAAGTCCAGGGTGTCGTAGATGAGGGCAAAGCCCGTGGAGCGGCCGCCACCGAAGTTGGTGCGGAATCCGAAGGCGAAGACCACATCGGGGGTGACCTTGTACATGGCGGCCAGCTTCTCGCGGATCTCGGTCTTGTTCACCGACGACAGTCCTGGGTGCAGGACATCGCAGACCATCTGTTTCCTGGCGAGCAGGCGGTTGGTCATGAACTTGCGGGTGCGGATGGTGGCGGTTGTACCGGACATTTTGACGGAGCTGCAATAAAACGGTCGGGAATTAGATTGGGTCTTTCATTCACACAGAATTCTCGTCACTGCATATTGTTTTTGTCGCCACCGAGCGAATCAACATAACCTCACTGGCCATGGGTGCTCCATGTCCCCACGTGTGACACGTTTCTGGGATTATTCGAGTCCCACGGGCGCAACCTTCAATCACAGAGCACCGGGCATCTTACTGCCGATCTTGGCCTGCATTTTGAAACAGTTTTGGGAGCTAATTACCTTTTAAAACACTTGAAAAGGTTTTAAACACGTCGTTTTGCGAACGCGATTCAGTAGAAAGGAAGATGGCCGTGCCTTAGAGATGGAAGAAAAAGCGATGATTCGATGCTATCGATATTTCCAGAAAATGGCAGCACCGATGTTTTTCATGCAAACAGCATTGCCATATTGTAGCGAAGATTTGAAATTAAAAATTTTTAATTTGAAAAAGTAAAATGTTGGATCGATTGCTTGGAAGAATTTTAATTCTAACTTTTTATTTTGCAAATTATATTATTGTATTAAAAACTATAAACATAACTGGCTGCGATTACCTGAGAGGTGAATTTTCTAAAATGGTTATCGATTATAAGCTTTTAACATAACTATCGTTCGAAAGTGTTGATAAACCATTTAAACGGACTCAAGCCATACCAACACTTGAATGACGGCAACGTAACGCATTTAGCTTGGCGCCAAATTTGAAAGTTTGTTACGTGGTTTGGGCTTTGAGTGGAACTGGCCTAACTTCGTGCCCCTTGATTTATATTATGTCATAAAACGAAAACAATTTTTTGATTCGTATACAAAACTAATTTAAGGAATATATTCTTGAACCATGCCATTTAAAGCATAAGTAATGAATTTCGATTCCAACCAGGTAAAAAAGGTTCAGACTTCTCGACTTATTATATTTTAATATACATACATACATATGTGCTTTGAGATGGTAAATTAAAAAAACCATTGTGTTTTTCTCTCTGTGTCTGTGATTAATAAGAAATGAAAACACTTGGTAATTAAAGCATTAAGTCTTCAAAGGGGCAGTAGTTCTTTTGACTCGCAGAACAGCTTAAAACAAATTTGATGAGAATTAGTTTTTTTCCAAATAATTTTACTAACACCTAAAAAATGGTCCCATGAAATTTGAAATTTGATTAAACCATTTTGAGGTTCTTGAATGACAAAAACATACTTTCTGCAGACTTAGCATTTTCGTTTTTGATATGTTTGGGAATGCAGATTCAGATTGCAATAAAATATGCATTGTATGCATTTTATTTTCATACATAAATTTACTTAATTTATTTTACTTTGGTCAACTTTGAATTGTTCTTCTTATTCCAAACATAAAAGCCACAATAGCTTAGGGCCGCCAGTAGGGTTACAACTAGAGTAGCGATTCCGGCATAGAACACAAAGAGGTCGAACAGGTGCAGTTGGCAGGAGGAGATCCCGACTCCACGGGTCTTTAAAGCCGCTCCTCCTTTGTGCCGGGCCACGTAGTTCACCCAGAAGAGAGCGCTGGCCAGGGCGCCAAGAGGACGGTCCCTGAACTCCAGGGATACATCACGAATCGTCAACTGGAAGTGTGACTCCTTGAGCAGTCTATCCACTGCCCAGTTTAGGGAGTTGGTTGTCACATTCCCCTCCTCCAGCGGAAGTCCCACTCCCAATCGCACGGCCAGCTCCATGTTTCGCCTTTCGTGCTGGAAGAGAGGCAATCCCAAAATGGGCACATTCCGGACGATGCCTTCCTGCAGGTTGAGCAGATCACCATTGGTCAGGAAGACCTTGACCCTTGGATGCGCCAGGATATCGATTTGCGGCACTGCATGTTGGATCATCACATTCTTAGGCAAACCATCCAGCTTCTTCACATCGTGACAGGTCCAGATGATACCCTCTTTTCGGGAGGAGAAGAAGGTAAACAGGGTATCCAGTTTTTCCTTGGCTAGCTGACCACATGGCTGCTCATTCCCCAGTTGTACGTAGATAACTCCAGGTCGTGCCTCGTCCAGAAAACGCTTCACATTCCAGGGCAGTTCCTTGGGACCCCGGATATGTAGACCACCAGCGGGAACAATCTGCTGGATGCTAACTTTAGGAGTCATTAAGGGCACATGACTATTTAGCAGAAGCACCGATAGCTGGCTGGCCTGCAGTTCGGGGATCGAGTGCTGCAGCTTGAAGTACTTGGCCACCAGTTGCTCCTGACCGCCGTAGTGATCCTTGATGAACCTCTTCCTGCGGGCAACACATTCCCGGATATTTCCAAGTCGCTCGGAGAAGCCCAACTGGGACAAATCCCGCTCAAAATCGATTGGGGTACAGGCGGCGGGAACCAGTGCCTCCTGCACGGCTTCCATATAGTTGCCAAAATCTGTGGAAATGATCCCAACAACAGGCCTCTGATGAAGAGCTCCCAATGCCAGCAGAGCTTCCGTATAGAAGTAGTCCACTAGGATCACATCAAAGTCAAACTCAAGGTAAGACATCTTAAGCAATTTCTGAATGGGCTCTTGGGCGAGAAAGTGATCCAGGGCACGGGCTCCAACGCTGGCCAACGACTGGCGAAGGTTCTCAGTGGGTAGACGACCAAGATCAGCGAGGTTTCCCTTTGGAGCCGCATGTTTTTGCACTATTTTGGGATAATATGAGGGTGTTAAGGTATCCATATTATAATCTACTTACACTCGCTCCAAAAGGGATATTCAGCTGTCACCGTTTCTGTCACATTTTCTAGGGATTCTCCCAAACCATGACCCGTATAAACTTCAATCTGTGAGAAAAGAGTTATCAATGATATTCACCAATTTTTAACGAGGAATTCCACTTACTATGTGTTCACGACTGGCCAGTTCCGTCACCAGAGTCCGCATTACCGCAAAGTGACCCTCGTTGGCATGGGGAAACAGGACTAGGATCTTGGCTGCCTGAGAAGTCTGACCCAGCACTAGACCAAAAAGAGCTAGCAAGATCCAACGATTCCATTGAGATTCCTGTGGAATAAAATTCACAACAAATTAGGTCACTTCCGAAAGTACACATCATCCCATAACAGATTCCCCGGCATATTCTTATCAGTCTGCCAGTTGTCAGGCTATTCAGATGACATTTTTTGAACTTCTTGGACCCATGTACCAACCATGTTCCGTAATTTAAGTATCAGCAAGGTATTATAATTAAGTTCCGGCCGTAATTCAATTGCATTCGTCTGGAAAATTCTTCCGGTTTTATTGAGTAAACGAATCAGACTAAACTAATCTCTCCTTACGCCTTGACTCCGCACAAAAAAACAAAACACTGAACTGATTGCTCTCGGGAATATAATCTAAGAAATACGTCCAGAGTTCTGTGGTCACTGGAACATGTGTGGCACATGAGATTGCCACCAGACCCCAATACATATGCCTTGTATATAGATCCTATTGCTTTCATTAATGTATACAGTGCTATTGTGGGGTCTCGGAAAGGGGTACAATGCACCGACATATGTATAGCATTCCCCCCAGTTGAGCGATATGAGATCGTCTCTTGAGTTTATTGTTTCTCTCGCTTTAAACAAAGAGTGTGGGGAGTTAAGATCTGTTCACATATGCATAATTGTACAATATTCTTATGTTTGAGTGCAATTGCTAATTGTAAAAACTGCAAAATCATCTATGTCTGACAAAAGTTCTAAATATATATTTTACATACTAGTCGCACTTATTAAGGGCTGATTTGGGGTTGTATATTTACAGGACTTCGAGGTATAATTTCGGATGTTGAATAGAAATCTGGTTTGTCTTATCTATTCTTTGTCAGTTAGAACATTCAAATTTATTAACTTTTTTAATTATCAGTAACATATTAATTAGTTTGTTGTTCAAACTGAAGATGTAACCAGAAAGTTGGCAGTACTTAGTCATTTGTGACCCACTTTAAGTGGCAACTTATATAAATTTTTCCAGAAACAGTCTTGCACCTGTTCCTTCAATCATATCCAATTATTTCCCAGTAGACCAAACAAACTGAATAAACATGGGTATATACATATGTAAATATTCAGCTGTATGTACTTCAATTGGCGCAAATGTGCAAATCAGAAAAATGTGACAAACTGAACGTTGTTTATCAACAACAAAAGGGAACAGGGAACAACAATCTAAATCGAGAACAGCGAACATTTATACGCAGGCAAACAAATTGGCGAAGAAGGCAAAAACCGGTTGCCACTAAGGGAAGTCGCCAAAAGAAGAAAGCGATGGAAGGGGTTCCAAAACCGGTTCATTGAACCTGAGCACAACCGGCATTATGGTATAGACACACAAAAGAGCTGGAAAAAAGAATGATTCCATCTCCTTTATCACACACAATTCTCTTTATTTATGCCATTTCTTAGTTCTTTTCTTTTTCTTAGTTGAGCACTGTTACTTGCTTACGGAACAAAATGTAAATAAACATGGCGAGCTATGGTAAATGCATATGTCTGGAAAAATCGATAATGCGTTTAGGCTTAAATCAAATCGGTTATGCTTGCTGATGGATGATGAGGCTCAGTATGTAGAGTCCGCTCCCAAAACCAGTTTAGTCGGTGGCATCGGCCTTGGCCACGGAGAAGGCCTCCGCAACGGGGATGCTGCCGCTGTTGGCGATGACCACATCCTTGACGGGACGGTCGCGGGCATCGGTGGCCGAGTTCTCGATCTGGCGCACCACATTCATGCCGGACAGGATCTTGCCGAAGACGACGTGACGTCCATCCAGCCAGCTGGTCTGCTTGGTGGTGATGAAGAACTGGGATCCGTTGGTGTCCTTGCCAGCGTTGGCCATGCTCAACCAGCCGGCACCATAGTGCTTCAGCTTGAAGTTCTCATCCTCGAAGCGCTCGCCATAGATGGAGCGTCCTCCGGTACCATCGCCCTTGGTGAAGTCGCCACCCTGGATCATGAAGTCCTTGATGATGCGGTGGAACTTACTGCCTTTGTAGCTGCAACAAACAAAATGGATATAATTAGTTTGGTGACTTTATTTTTGGATAAGTACCCAGCGTTTTAGCTTGTTATTTTAAGAAATATCATTTTAAACTGTTTGCATTTTGCTTCAAAAAATAAATATCTAATTTGTCTGTAGTTCCACTTGAACTATTTGTAATAATGTTTTAAGTGCATCTGAGGCATAACAGAGAGGATTAGGTCCAGATAGCGCTCTTTGTTAACCCATTAGTCCCAACTATCCTAGAGATTTGCTTTGTCAACTAATGATTGGTCGCTTAAAGGCCACGTAATTGCTTTAATTTGAGAGCCCCGCTATAACCTACAAAGACTCGTAGTGCCCTGGTGTGCGAGTGCCGTTAATCAGCGGCAACTTTCGCTTGATTAAGCGGTACCTGGTACCCTACATATACTATTTAATGGTATCAAGTACCCCTCTACTCACCCTTCGCCCTCGGGCTTCTGGGCCAGCTCCTTGAAGTTCTCCACAGTCTTCGGAACAGTCTTTCCAAACAGACCGATTTCGATGCGACCAGCGGGCTCACCGCCAATGGTGATGTCAAAGAAAACCTACGCAATCAGAATTGGTTTATTATTAACAAATCATCTCACTTGATTTATGGCGCAGCGGATGTGTATATACATAGTTTGCTAGGGTAGCTATAAGAATTCTGGGAAAGGGGCAGGACGATAAACAAAGATGCACCCACCTTCTCGGTCACTTTGGGTCCTTTGCTGTCATCGGCAACGACGATGCCGGCCACCAGGGCCACCACGCACACGGATAAGAACAACTTCATGGTTCCGGAAATTTTCAGCGATTGAATTCTTTTCGGTTCTTTCGGTTGAAATCGGCGATTAGTATGATCGCGGCATAGTTGATGAATTATACCGACCGGCTCAAAAATACCATTTTCACTTTTGAAATACACTCAGCGGTCACACTGAAAATGATAATATGGTTTTGGTCTCGAATAACATAGATAGTGTCCTTGCTCGATGTTTTCAAAACTGACCAATCGATATTTTTGATACCATCGATAGGAAATAATGAATTCAATTCCAGCAGCCGGATATAATTCTACCCGCCCTGTAAAATTGTTTTCTTTGATTCCAGGCATATCTTCCTAAAGTAGTTCAATATTCGAAAGGTAAGCAAATGAGAATTTCCATTCATTAAGAAACCCAAAAAGAAAGGAATGGTAGGGCTGTAATGTAGGCGCGAAATATTTGGCGGGCATTTTAAATGTAAAGGTTGAACTTTTAAATTAATCACAAAGAACCGCAAAAATTGAACAATGTTGTGCTTTGTCTTCTATAAAAAGCTCCTCCCTTTAAATGTACACTTTAAAAAAACAATGAAATATAAGGAGAGAATATACATCTAAATATACATAGGTCACATTTAACAGAACCCATATTTATTATAAATCTCTGTTATTACTTTTTTCTTTAAACTTTATTTTAACTTTAATTTTAACCATCAAAAATTTGTAGTCAGATGCCAAAATTTATAACGTTTGATTTTATTTTAAACAATATTTATTTGACCGAGGTGTGTAACTTTCTTTGTTAAAATTATTACCGATATTATGTGAGAAGAGAGCTCTAAGTAGAGCTTTCACACAGTAAATACAAAAATCTTTTGATCATTGATGTACTGCTATTTGTGTTTGGGACTTTTCCAGTTCCTTGGCTGCTTTCTTTGCCCTTTTCTTTTCTCTATTGCCCAGAACTTTTTCCCGGGATTTCTGGGCCCTTTCGGCGCAGTCCTTTGGACGTGTTTTCAGAGTCATATCATCCACAGCCGCTTGTTTACGAGCTGATCTTGAAATACACCGTTCCATGCAGCTGATGTCTACGAATCTTCCAATGAAACAGCCGCAGTGTGAGCAATAGTGGTTAATGTCCTGACGCCCTGGCCACTTTTTACTACAAATTGGAAATGCAAGAATTAATTCAAAATCCCAACTAAGAACTCTAGGAAATATCAATACCAAAGTTTTGTGAATCCCAGAAATTTCTGAAGGCAAGTAACCACCTCCAGTTGAACCACACTGGTTCCGTATTTTTCACACGAAGGACAATGTATCCATGTGGGCTCCTCTTTTAGGTATCCCACTTGTTGTTTATGACTGACACTAATGGCCACAATCTGCGGTTCGTCTACGGCCATGATGTGTATTCTAGCGAGAATGTTTGGTGACTGAACGTAGATCCAAATATAAAGAGATCATATCAGATACAGAGATTTCCAGCTAGCTCTGCCTCTCTTCCCCGATATTTCTCTCGCTGAGGCGTTGGTCTGGTAATTAATTTAACACATGAAATCATATACAAATATCATTCTCTCTTTAGAACAAAATACCATTTGTAAACATTTGGTTTCAGAGAATATTTAGAATTTCACTTCTAATAACGGGACTATATATATTATTCATAAGAATTACAACATTATTTTAAGCAGTTAAAATAGTTTTTATTATTTACAATAACATCAACGTATGAAACCAAAATAAAATGCACGGTATTTCGTAGTAATTTGTTCCTTGTGATAATAAATAGATTGGATTACATCTTTGGGGATGGTCTACAGTTGTGGACGGCGATATACGCCCAGGTACTCCCCGCAGGCCCCACAGTGGTGTCTCTTGGTGCAACAACGCAGCCAGGATCGCACCACACGGGTCTTTGCCTTAACCCTGCAATAAGGACAGGTGATCTCGTTGGGACCGGGACCGACGGCAAAGTAAAGTGCTTGCGGATCCTGAGCCATGTCGAACTGCCAGATGTTGACTGTTTCAAAATCAAACGAAGACTGAGACAAGCGAAGAGAAATTAGAGGTATAACATGATCAAAAACGCCTCCAAAGAGAAGAACAGAGAGAAAGAACAACAGAGAACGAATGTGATCATTTCAGTTTTATTTTTGTTTTGATGGTTTTGCAGTGGGTGGGTGTTCGGATGTTAAGAAAGCATTTCAAAAAATGTTTAAACTATGGTGACTAGGCGGTGGTTGCCTTAATTTTAAGGGGTTCCCTCCTCTTCATAGAGCGTCCGAAATAGCAACCACAATTGCCACAGTAATGACTTCGATCGGTTTGCTTGCAGGGCACATAGTAATTGAAACAGCAGCAACAACAAAAGCTCCTAAAATAGGATCCAATAATATTCAGGTTTTCCAATTTTCAAAAAATTATTATAGCCTACACAAAAAGACAGCCCACAATGCGGTTCAGTTCACTGGCCCACCACTTGAGATCATTCTGCACCACACTCAGATCCTTGATGCCGCAGGCGGGACACTTGATCTCTACAGGATCGCGTGGGAGGTTGAGAAAAGTGCCTGCCAGGGGTGTGGCAAAGTTTTCGTAGATCTTCCGTTCCTTCCGATCCTCCAGAGTCTTGGCCTCCCGCTCCCGAATCTCCTGCGCCGTTTCCTTCTCCGGCAGCGTTGTCGTCATGATCGCTCAACAATCGAAACTGAATCGAACAAGAACGCAACCTGTTTGGATACTCAAAAGAGAGCCACTGACACACAGAGAAATCATAATATCTCAGAACACAGAATAATAAATTTAGCTAGTATTACCCAAAGGAAACTCTCTATTTGTTCCTAAAATGAAGATGAGAATTACTTTACGTACTTTACCATTCTCAAGACCCTGAAATATCCCTTAAGTTACTATCTTTGGGTGATTTTAATAATTAATACATGTAATATAGTATAACCTTTATACTATTTATTTGGTTTAAATGTATTACTGTATCTCTTTTACACTTTCACTTTTATTTTCCCAGTGTGGCGAAGAGTATTTATAGAGTATGAAGAGTACTTCATATATGAGTTCTGGAAGAGCAAAACGAGAGCAACGCCAGAATTGATTTACGGTGCGTCTTTAATTGAGTTAGATGCGTAATAGAATTACAAATCGTATAAAAATTTGGCATTAATTTCATTTTAATTGGTCCATTGAGTAGCCTATTTGGCCTTGCGCTGGATTCCCACTTTGCCGCCACACGAGCTGCAATAAACACCCTTGGTGGTCCATTCCCGGTTGCATCCGCACCAGGTGCAAACGCAGCAGATCCAAAAGAGTGGAAAAATGCTACAGGGAAGGATGATGAAGAAATGGTTTATCCAGATTAGAATGATGGGTAATATTCCTTACCAGGAAAGCAGACTGAGACAAAAGCTGGCGTCCTTGCAAGTGGCTGCCCTCATCACAGCCGCTTCGCTTCTCTCCCGACAGAGTGGGCACAGTAACTTGTAGGTGGAGGGCCCTACAGCGTAATATCGGGGTCGTGGCTGCTGACTGGAGGCGGAAACTGGAGCAGCTGACTCCTGGGCGATAAGGGTTACCTTCTCCGCGGCATGGTCATCTATGAACGGCACCAGACCATCCTCTAGCACCACATTGGCAATGATATTCCTGGCCCGTTCCTCCGTCCCAGCGGGCACCAATCTCACCCGCAACCTCTCCACCTTCTGATGCTGCTCCATGGTAACTGACTATCTGATCTCCGCCAGAACAAACGAAACTCATCAGCGAGAGCGAGGCGCTTGCAAAGAGAATCTCGAAGAGAGTTTCCACTGTGGAGAAGAATTTGTACATGACCATGGAGCTATGATGTCATCGGCAGCTATTCAGGGAATTCTCATTTGACTTGGCCCCTCAACCAGAACCAGATCGACAGCCAAACGTTTGGCGAATATTTGTTTATCCAACATATAGATCTAACCCACATAAACCACATGGAAAACGTTTCGAAATTCTTAATATTTTATACTTCATGATATTGATGATGATAGATATTGAAAGATATTCTTTTATACTAAACATAAGAATTGCTGTTTTTTTTAAATTTGTCAGATTAAAAGATAGAAACTTTATAAGTACTTGCTTTCGTTCAATATTTTTGCTGATCAGTGTTATTTTTTATAAGAAGTGATACGTTTACCGGTAAAACCAGCTGATAGTTATGACCGTTTATGTTTATGTTTTGGTTATAGGTTTGTGTTTATGTTTGGTTTTTCTTTGCTTGTATTTTTTTTTTAGCGATTTTTAACTCAGCTGAGTGAACTTCTATTGAGAGAGAGCTTTTAAGCTTAAGTCAAATCAATTTAAAGGCTAGAAAAAACCATTAAGGTTTTAAATAAAGTAATAGCTTTGAAAACATTGGTTTTATTATTATTGTTATATTCAACAAAACTATAAAAGAGTAGTTTTTACAAATATATGTTTAGCCTTTCCACCAGAACTGTGGTATTTGATTTACTTTCTCTTGGTCAATCGAAGTTTCAGTGGCTCTTTGGTCACTAAAACAGGTGCTGCATCAAAACGGAACTCAACCTCCTTGCGGGGAGCCTGTATCAGATCGAAATTGGCCAAGACCTTGGCCACAGCCACCTTGGAGTTTATTTTTCCCATGCGAAGAGCTATAATAAATCGCATTGATGGTATTGTAAATATAACAAGAATAGGTAGATCCTCACCTATGCAGTGCCTGGGACCCTCTCCAAATGGCATATAAGCTGCCTGGTCGTAGTTCATAGTATCCGCATCAAATCGGTGGGGATCATATCCATTGGGATTGGGGAAGTAAGCGGGATCACGTTGGATGCCAAAGAGCGAGATCAGGATGGGGGTTCCCTTGGTTATAATGTGGTTAGTACCGGGTACAGGATAATCTTCAGTGCACTCTCGATTGAGGAATGGTAGCCCGGGGTATTTCCGAATGGTTTCTGTGAACAATCGTTATGCCTAAGATCCAATTATATAAATCTGAAGTGAAAAGTTACCCATGATGCAAAGCTCCAGAAACTTTAAGTCCTGCACTGCCTCGTAGGTGAACTTATCCTTGGGTTTAAGATTGTGCTTTTGAAGCACTGCATCCACCTCCTCACGCGCCTCCTTCAGAAGCTCCGGATACATGGACAACTCATAGAGAGTAAAAGCGGAAGCGGCTGCAGTGGATTCCGATCCAGCCACGTAGAACAGAAAAGCCTGGGCAGCAATCTTCTCAATCGACATTGACTTGAGCTGTTCCTGTGCAGTTTCCATGTCCCATACCTCATCGTCATCCTCGCCGATCTTACCCGTGTTCCTGAGTCGGATCAGAAGCTGCAGCATATCCTTACGGACGACATTGTGCTGCTCCCGGAATTCGATGGTGCGCTTCATCATGTCTCGAAGGGATGTCAAAATGCGGCTCTCATAACCCAATCGGTTCATTAGCTTCGCAATTCTAAAATGGTAGGTCAGTTACTGAATTTCACAATTTTTAGAAATTTGTATTTTAGGGTAAATATTTTTCTTAAGGAACTATGTTTTTCTAATTCCAATTTCAGTATTAAAAGTTCCAGAATTTGGTACAGTTTTCTGAAAACAGCTCTTTAATTTTGCGATTGAGTGCACTTCAGAACTGCTATTTACATCTGTATATAGATTTCGCACTCGTTATTAAAACTTAGGAATCTTTCAAGGTAATATGTAATGCGTAATAAGCAATTCTCGTACTCACGGTGGGCATATGAACATGGACATATTGTGGATCTTGAGCAGCAGGGAGTTATCCTTAGACGTAGAGCTGCTAATTTCACGAAACTCGTTTTTCGGATTGCTAAAGCTGTCTATCTCCAAGCCGAAGATCACCGAGCCAATGATGTCCACTGCATAGGTGGTCATCACATCTTTGATCTCCACTTCGTCACTCTGGTCCAGAACACCCTCTAAATGCTGCACTAACTTGTCGCCCACATCGTCGATCGTTCCGAACATTCCCTTTATTTTTCCAGAGGAGAACGATGGCGTGAGTTTCTGACGGAGATTTCGCCATGATACACCTCTCAGGTTGAAGAGATTGGCCGATAGCGGATCTTTGTCCTCGTCCACGTAAACCCCACGATCGTGGAAACTAGCGAAATCACTGGTCATGATCTGGCGAGCCAATTGGGCATCTCGGATGAGGATACTCCTTTTATTCATCATGTATATTCCAACTATTTTGCCTTCGTGACGGGCGTATATGTCACCTAAAGCCATTCCCAAACTGCGTTCCTGTTTCATTACAGTATCCATTACTCCAAAGGGGATTTTGGCCTGCTCCTCGTCCATTCCCAATCTTTGCCAGTGAGTATAGTGACGCCTCACATATTTATAAAGCAAGAACAGGATTAGGATCAGCAAAATTATATTCCACATATTGAGTGAAATTGAAGTTTTCGGTATTGAAAATGTGAAATTTCTAAGGGTGGTGAAATTTTGCCAAACTCCTCGATGTGCACTTGCTGAATTGCACAATTCTACTGGCTGGGAAACGGTTTTATATAGACATAGACCCACCCGATAAGCATTACGAACCTACAACCAAAGCAAATAACGAACAGCGGCATTTCGCTCTCTTCCAGCTAGCCAATTGACTTCTCAGCTGGAAGAAGCTTTCGACTCTTCAGGGAACAGGGCAGAAGAAAAGCAAAGAGACTACCTGTTGGATCGATAAACTGTTTGAATTAGGTGACTTAAAGCACTTTAGAGATTCCCAAGTATTTTACAACTTTTTTTTATAAATTGAGTTTATTTCTTTTAATAACTTATTTAATAATTATCATGTGAACGTTTCGATTCTAGAGCCTGGCGCTGCCTGCCAAGCTTCTTCTCGTCGAGCTCCTCCTTCTCCACCTTGTTGAATCTCTGCCAGCGTCCATGGTCCTCCACCTCGCCCCTTTGGAGGCGGAAGAGAGTCCTCTTGTACCAACTTAGGGTGATGTCACGTCCAATAAAGCAGCCACAGGAACTGCAGTAGTGATTGACATCATGACGACCCTTCCAGCGAATGGGATTGCTACAGAATATGGAAAAGAACAAAGAACATTCAGTCACAATAAATCTAGATTTATATCGGATCTATAATTTGTAAAGATAGAGGTTTTCTTTTTAAATGAATTGTATTAACTCGAAGCTAAACTAAATGGTTTCCATAAATATAATGGGTGTACTTAATATGAATATTTTTTATAAAGGTGTTCCAATTTGTGTCTGGTAATTTTTCTCTTTCTTATTAATTGGGATATTGATCCAATTGTCACCTGAACGTACCAACAGAGAAGCACATTTAGCGAGCAGACAATCTTCTGTAGAACAGTTACCGCCTCCGATTTTACACGGGTAATCTGTAACTCCTGGCAGGCTGGGCACTCCAACTCCTGGGGTTCAGTGGTAAGGTGACCCACATGCGGCACCTCCGAGATGTCCCCCTCGAAGGCACTGCCATCCAGACTCTCGGTGCTGGCCATTTCGAAGCGACAGAGCAACTGACCCAAGAGCCAAGAACATTCGCATAATGTATCCGTATATGCATTCGTATCTACATCACAATCAAAAAAGCTAAGAGCGAGCCAGAGAGTGGGAGAGATACATACTTTTTGGAGGCACCGCCTGAATGACGATCGAATAAAATCAAGTATCTTATTAAAAAATTTGACAACAGCTGCCGGTTTATTTATAGATCATTTGCATTGACTTTAGAGAGCTAACTAAGTGGTAGTCCTAAGTGGGACGCCAGTGGAAGCCCAAGTGACCACCGCATCGGCTGCAGAAGACACGTTTCGACTTCAGACGACTCTGGAGACAGGAGTAGACGAAAGTCAGGGCAAAGATGGGAAAGCAGCTGGAAATGGGGATGGCAAAAGTTAATCCTTTGATATAGATTGTTTTTTAGATTTTTTAAATATCCTACCAGGACAGAGCGGACAAAAGGCAACTGAGCTGGCCCAATGCTCCCGTCATCTCCACGGTTTCCGTCTTGGAATTTTGGTGGCACAATGGACACCGCACTTGGTAGCTGCTGGGTCCAATGCTGAAGAATCGAACCTGAGGCTTGCCGGGACGATCCTCCAGCGTGACCGTGGTGGCCGCCGAATGGTTGTCCCCCCCTTGGAGATCCACCTCCAGGTCCGCATCCAAGTCGTACCCCCGAGACATTGCGACTGGCCAGCGTTCTGTGCCTAACATTTTGGCAAATTCCCGAGCAGTGAAATTTTAAAACAAAGAGATATACCTAACCAAAGAGATCTGATCTAAGAGAAACACTGGGAGATTAATGCAGAAATCAACAATTTTTTTGGCACTCGGCTACTCAGTCTCAGCGCTCCTCACTCTCCGCAAGGTCAACAAAAAAGTGCTTAAAAATATTCAAAACAAATAATTAAATGCGAAGCACCCACTCCGAATCCCCTCTTCCCACGGCTATCCCCCCGATCTCATTGTCTTTTCCATGCCCCCAAGAGGTATCCACATTTGCCACAGATGACCTTGCAGTCGTTGGCGGAGCGTCTCGGGCAGCAGGGATAAATGGGCAGCAGGGCAAAGCAGCTGGAAATAATAGGGAAATAATCAGTAAAGAAAAAGAAATAAATTTAATAATAATCTTAAATCAACAATATTTACGAAGTGTTTTTAATATTTGCATTAACCTTAGAAAACTTTCATTATTTCAATTATATTTAGTACATTTTATTTAGGTACCTTCAGAATTGTTGTGATTTTCAAACCATACAACATTAATATAAATCAGTGGTCGGCAGCGGCCTATCTAGTGAGCATAGGGAAGTGTTCTGCCCATCCTCTGCTCGCTCACGTATAACGTACATGTTCGTGTGACTTCGGAATGGGTCTTCGGGTCATTTTTTCTCAACTTCGGCGCGCTTTTTTGTTGCTGCGGCAGAGGATCTCAGTGCAAAGCAGAGAAACGTCTCGCTACAGCACGCTGCGCGCAAACTTCGTGTTTGTTACACTCACACTAATGCAAGGCAAACTTGTGATGGTATGTGTGTGCCGACCACTGATATAAATTGTTTCAGGTGTCCAAAAAATAGAAATTAAATTTAAAAAATAATTTTAATTTAAAATGAAATATTAACTAATAACTAATAGAATTTAAATTCCAAATGGGTGGTATTATTTTTGAGTATCACCTTGAAACAGAACATTACTTGTAGAAGAATATCACTTGTAAAAGAACTTTTAAGAACTTTTTTTTAATTTTATCTAAAATGACTTACATAAAAATATCCATCTCTTCATGTTAAAATTTAGTTGCGACACACTTTTTTACACTTTTTTAATTATTCAAGATTAAATTCCTTTTGGTTTTTAATGTTTAAATAAAGGTTTTTTGAATTAAATTAATGACACATTCCTATTAAACATTATAAAGGAATAGTCGGTGCCTTTTAAGTTAAAGGGTTTAAGGGCTAGCACTCACCACATGGTCAGGAGTCTCTCCAGCCGGACTCCCTGCTCGTGCAGTCTTTCGTGGCACTCCGGACAGTACATCTGTCGGAGGCAACTGATGTTGGTGGCCGCCGGTGGGGGTGGCGATACCTTCTCGGCCAGCTGCCCAGTGGAGTTGCTCTTCCGGCAGAAGTAGGTCTCAGGCTCAGAATCCTCCGCATAGCCGTAGGGATAACCTCTGTGAGGGGGGGTGGCCAGAAGCAATTGGTCCAGAGCCTGGGCTGATTTCTGCTTGATCTGGCCACAGTTGGGGTTCAGGTTTATCTCAACCAGATCCGCTGGGAACTCCTCGTCTTCGGGAGCTTGCAGATGGAACTTTAGCTGGCGACTCATGGTGTTGAACTGACTCGACTTGGGATTTCTATTTGCCTATAAATTGGGTTATTTTACAATTGAAACCATAAAAAACATAAGTCAAACAGTTAACGTTTGGCTTGAAGGGACGGGCAGGGGGATCTATTGGAGTTGAGAGGGGTGTTAGCCAAACCAGTTGTTCATCTGTTTTGTCAAGCCCCCGTATTTGCCTAACACTATTTTCATGGCTACGGTGTTAACGGCTGCACTTGAACGTAGCGCCAATGAAGGAAAGCTTCCCCAAAGAGTCTGGCGAGTGGGTGGCTAATAGAGCTTTTCCCATAAAAGTACTTTAAAATAAAGTTTACTTAACCCATTGAGCACCTGAAAATACCGATAAAGAATATGTACATTTTTTAAATTAAATTAAAACTAATCAGTTAATGATAGTTATATATTTTGTAAATTTGTGTATGCTCTAAAGAAAAAAACATAATATTGTGTACTATATATTGAATGAGTTTTAAGTAAAACTACAATAGGTAACCTACGTTTTAACATAAAGATATCAAACAAATTTTCTTAAAAAAATTAAAAAAACAAGGAAGAACGCTATAGTCGAGTACCTCAACTATCAGATACCCGTTACTCAGCTAAATGGAGATATGCAAGCAGCAAAGCGAGATTAAAATGCGCCACCTACCGGCGGTAGACAGATTTAAGCGTTATGGGCGTTAGAGTGGGCGAGGCAAATTTATTTTTGGATAAATCGATAGGTATTGACGACACCAATACATTTCAGTTAAAATTTTTTATGTAGCATGCAAATTGTGGGCGTCACAGGTTTTCGCGGTTTGTGGGCGTTTAAGTGGGCGTGGCAAACTTTTTTTTAGGTCAATCGATAGGTATTGATGAGAACAATACATTTCAGTTAAAATTTTTTATCTAGCATCAAAACTGTTGGAGTTACAGTTTTGGGCGGTTTGTGGGCGTTAGAGTGGGCGTGGCAGTCTACTGAAACAAACTTGCGCTGCGTAGGAAGCTCAGGAATCTGTACGCCAAATCTCAATAGCCTAGCTCTCATAGTTTCCGAGATCTCAGCGTTCATCCGGACAGACAGACGGACAGACGGACAGACGGACAGACGGACATGGCTAGATCGACTCGGCTAGTGATCCTGATCAAGAATATATATACTTTATGGGGTCGGAAACGCTTCCTTCTGCCTGTTACATACTTTCCGACGAATCTAGTATACCCTTTTACTCTACGAGTAACGGGTATAATAAACCTATTCATTAAAAATATTTTTCACTTCCATTTCGTGATCTGGGGGTCTACTAGGAACTACCATAATCCTTCTTGGAGCATTTTCAAAATATTATTTTGAAAGCTAGTGTAGTCTTTCTAAAGTTATTTTTGTCATCTGTGGTTTTACTAATAGTACTACAGAAATCTTTTTTGAATACCGCCCAAAGTCAATTTAGTTTACAGTTTGTATATCAATTTTATACTATTCAAGTTTGAAATAGACACAAAAAGTATGACGACAAAGTAATTAAAATTGGCACTACGATTGTATGATAACGGTATCAAGATAACACAAATATTGTAAAAGGTGAATAACATTATATTAATGGCGTAAAAACAGGTGCATTATTAAAGATTTAAATGTAGGCTGGTGAAATGGAATGATGATTCTAAAACCGGTACAATATTATATCCGAACCGGTCACGCACTTGCTAATATGATTAAGTTGGAAAATTTAAGATGAGAGACATAGCCGTAAGCGTGTGTTTGTTTATACTCTCTCCCGACAATATTTCTCTTAACCAAATACACGTAATTTATTTTTTCATACAATTCAACTTGTTAAAGCGATTAGAGCTTATTCATCACCTTCTTTTATATTGGATGTGTTATCAAACAAGTGACTCATCTGTCACCTATTAGAGGAGCATCGTTGTAGCTCACTAAATCAAGTGCACAATATAAAAAGATATCCGTTTATGAGTTCGACTGAAACCCCCTTTGAAGGGTAGCTATCACTACGTAGCGATAAGATAGCGATACCGAGAGTTAAGGTATTGCCGGAGCTCCATTTTCAGTTCGGTCTTCAGTGCAGCACCAGCCAGCAAAGCGATCGGTTCAGTTTCAGTTCATTCGGAGATCCAGAGCCTCTACAGAAAAGTAATTTCATAATAATGGGCAGCAAGCAGCCTCCGCCGTACAGTGAGCAGCAAGGATTCACACCCGCACAGACCTATCAGCCCGGTGGTCCCACCCAGCCACCACTGTATCCACCGATGCCAGGGCCACCGCAAGGCTCCACGGTGATCATCCAGACCACGACGACCTCCAACCTGGTGCCCATCGGCAGTGGGCCCACCCGAATCTGCTGCCCCTCCTGCCATGCCGAAGTCCTGACCACCGTGAAGGCCACTCCCTCGGGCAGGACACACTGCTGGGCCCTCATCCTGTGTCTGTTCGTGTGAGTTCCATTTGCAGTTTGATCCAATGTCACTGCTCCCCTGTAGTTACCATAGCGTCAGGGTTGTGGTCTTCAAAAAATAATCTTTAGATAGATTATAAAATGTATTATATGGTTTGAAATGAGGATAGGTTTAAAGTTTAACTTATTTGATGGCACAAAAATAATGCTGGAAGATGTGAATCATATTTTCCAAAAAAACTAGGATTGTATAAACATATACCAGAAAATATCTAGAACATAAAGATATGTTATAATATCTTCGAAGCAAACATATTTTATTATTTGTTTGCATTGACAATGCTTTTTTACTGAAAAAAGGTACGCCCATGCAACAGTTGGGGCTCTTATCGCTTTGAAAGTACAATAAGTTGCTATAGGTATTGCGTGTGAGGCCTAGTATGTGTAGCGGCCATACGTGAAAACAATGTTATCTCAACTGGAACTGGAACTGAAGTTGAGTCAGATAATAAAGCTGCCTGCAATGGGGCTAAAAACAAGCAAACCGACTGAACTTGGGCTGTAGACGTCGCTAACAGTGCTCTAAAGGCCAATGCGACTTAGGGCTCTGACTAATTGATTAATTCCTTGAACTTATCTAATCGATCTCTTCTAATCTTTACAGCTGCTGGCCCTGCGTCTGTCTTCCTTATTGCATGGATTCCTGCCAGAATGCCAACCACTACTGTCCCAACTGCAGTGCCTACATCGGCACCTACGAGAACTAATGTCTTTTTACGCATACCTACCTATAAAGAAACCTACAAATTAGCGCCATATTCCAACGAAACTTAACTGTAAATATACTTGTACGACCGTCACACATTAAACATGAGATTCAAACAGGAAAAGGGAAATGCGATAAGTTAATTTGGTTTGGTCTAATTACTCTGGAAGCTTAACCAATCGTGGGGGTACCCAACACTTCCTATATGCTAGAACAATATCAAACAAAACTGTAGGAAGTTCAATGTCACCACTTGATTTTTATCAGTTAGTGAAAGTATTACCTACAGGTACATATATGAAATTAAAAAGAACTTATGCTAACCTATCATTTTAGATCGATGATCATTGGATCCCTATAGGCTAGAATAATATTAAACAAATCACCATTTGATTTGTATCAGTTAGTGAAAGTATTACCTACAGGTACATATATGAAATTAAAAAGAACTTACGATAGTCTCACACTTCAGATCGATGATGATGATAAGTCAGTGGTAACAGCTAAATGACTGTTTTGCAATCAGTGTATTTATAACTCTTAGCTTAGTTTAACAGCTCCAATATGATAACAAAAAAATATAAAAAGGTTTTCTGGCGAAAAACGACCACTCCTAACACTTATGTGTGTAGTTGGGTCATAAAACACATATTAAAGGTATTTATGAAAGCTATATAAGATTTCCAGGAAACATTTTGAAGACCTTAGCTCTTCTGGCACCTAACCTATCGAGTTGCTAATCATTAAATTGAGTGGAGTTAGTGGAACCAATGTCAATCGATAAAGTGCTGCAAATGCCAACTCTTTTTTTACCTCGTCATATCGTCATAGCTGTTTGGTTCACCTAAAAAGTACCTGTCGATTAGCCAGGAAAGATAACAAGTGCGATAGAGCAGTGTTGTCATTAAATGGCCGGCGATTTCAGTGCATGGCCCACCGCAAACATGAACAGCACATGGGTAAGCACGCCTCCAGACACGGAAATGGTGACCGCAGCCGTGGCCCCTCAGCCAGACTGTGGGGTGGTGGTGACCCAGATACCCATATACACCCTGAACGGGGTGGGGGCGGGAGCACTTCCGCTAACAGTTGGCTGGCAACCGATGAGGGTAAGGTGCCCGTCCTGCAAGGGTGAAGTCACTACCAGTCTGCTCACGGCCCCCACCCGAAAGACCCACCTGTGCGCCCTGACCTTGTATATCTGCTGGTGAGTGGAGAGTCCGAATACCCCCAGCATAGATCCATTTAATGGAACCTCTTGATCCCTCAGCTGCTGGCCCTTCGTGTGCCTGCCCTACTTTATTAACTACTGCAAGAGTGTCCAGCACTACTGCCCCAACTGTGGATGCCACATAGGAAGCTACACCATTTGATGTGATCAAGATTCTTTGCACTGCCAGTAAGAATTTATATATAGCCTTCTAAAGACTTCAAGTGGACTCAAAAATATGTCAATAAATGTATCGTAAAATAAATAAGCTAAAATTAGTATCTTTCTACCCGTTTATCATTTTGGGGCAGAGTTTTTGAGCGCCAGCGGATTTTTTAACAGAAGCTAGCTGGAATTAAAATTTACTAAAAAATAAAAAATTTAAAAAGTTGTACACTTTCTAAAATCGGAAACAATTATTATTAATAGTTTATTTTCGCTTAGGAATAATAACTATATTTGATTTTTACTATGTATGTTTTTGAGGAACATTATAAAAATCAAAAATTTAAAAATCGTGATGAAAATAGATACACAAACCAAAGAGAATCACTATGATGTCTTCCTTTTCCGCGTATGTCAACCATAAGTGTGTATGATTTTTTGATTAAAAAAAAGAACAATAATCATTATATACAGTCCCTGGTTTATAGACTTTGCTCAAACACTTCAAAGTTTATTACTCATACGCACTGTTGCCTTTAAAGACGTCTACCCTAAAAAGCGCCGATCTAAATTTAAAATGCAGATTGCGGTTATTAACGGTAGAATATTTTTAGGTATTTTGATAATATCAGTGTCAAACATTGTCGGCATAAGTAATTGACGAACAAACAAACCAAAAAGCAAGGGTTCCTAGTAAGCCCATTAAAAAGATAAACAATGTACTATTTTAATTTCTTGGAAATATTTATACCGACTGGTGTACTTGATTGATCGTTAGGATTAACGTTTAAAACTGACAAAGCAAATTTCCGTTCTGTTCGAATTCAATGTTCGGTAGTTCCTATCGATATAGTCCCCACAGCGATAGATAATCGATACATGCAAGCCATGGCGATCGTATAGTTGTCTCTTTCTCTCCTTGCCCGAACGCGAAGTTTAAACTGTGTTCTTTTTTGTTTTCGCGGAACCAAAGCACATGCATTTGGAAAGCTTTCAGTAGCACTTCGCAAGGAAATTCTCAACTGTAAACAACAACTGCGGGTTCAGTTTTCCGATCGTGCCTCAAGTACTTAATAATCTACAATGGACTACAAGCGCGTGGACTCCCCGCCGCCCTATTCGGATGACTTTGCCTCCGCTCCTCCGGCAGAGATGGACCTGAACCAATCGCCGTCTCGCCAGCTCTATCCGCAGGTTCCTCATCCATCTCAGATGACCTCGATGTCACCACCACCACCGGCCCCGGTGAGCGTGATCCATCACCAGACCACGGTTTTGGTGGACAATCCCGGCCAGGGAATGGTTTGTCCCCATTGCCAAGCCCGGATTCGCGTTCGTGTGGAGCACCATCCTACTGGAAAGACTTACTGCCTGGCTGCGTTCCTCTGCCTTTTCCTGTGAGTACTTCTGTACATGGGTTGAATGCTGCTGTGGCCATAGTAATAGCACCAAAGATAACTCTATGTCTTGAAAAAAACACAGGAAGTGCCGATGATTAGAACATAATGTTATATTTTTTATGTATAAACTGTGTGCTATTGCTGTGCCCGCAGTTGTACGTATGTACATAGGGTGGATACAGCAGTAGGCATAGTAATAGCACCAAAGGTAAAGTAACGTTTTTAAAAAAGAAATCCCAAGGATTTCACACATATCTTGGCTATAACACTAAATCGATGTCCTATTGCTGTGACCGCAGTTGTATTCCTATATACATTTCGCAGGAAATGTAATGAGTAATCGCCGATCGTGCCTGGTAAACAATATACTCCATTTCCTCCTCTCTTCACCCAGTTGCTGGCCCTGCGTCTGCGCCCCTTGCTGCTGCAACTGCTGCTATAAGACCTCCCAGTTCTGCCCCAACTGTAACGCCTGTTTGGGATCGTTTTGAAGACGCCAGCGAAAACACTCGCCGAATTCATATCTACATATTCACATTCGTATATAACTAAGTATATATATATGTCCTCATGTGTAGACACCAACAAGAAGTGCTGCCTTTATCATACTAACACTTACCATTCACACAAAGAAACATTCTTCAATCGACTCTGCTTGCCGAATGCGAAACTGTAAGAGAGAATAGATAAACAAATAAAGCTTTGCGAAGCGAATCATTTTCTGGGATTCCCATAAACTGAATTTCGTTTGTACGAATTTGTATGTGTTTGTATTTGTTTCTGTGGAGGCGGCAGCATTTGGCTGAAACTTTTACGGGAAATATGAGGAGAGCGGAATTTTGAAGCAGGATTCAGTTTTGTTATTATTCAGCTTATCTTATCTTATTTCACATACACACAGCTTAAACCAACATTAATAAATGTGTTTGCAGGTCAATCGAATAAGAAATTTTTAATTTTTTGGAGTGCTTTTAAATTTCTGCAATCTTAAACAAAGTTAATAACAACTTATTTTATTAACTCCTTATGGAATACTTATTTTTTGTACACTTTTTAACTTTTTTGAAAATGTTAAGGCATATACTCACATAGATTTAGATAAAAATTTAAATTTTTATTTTTAAAAAATTTAAGATGGGACAAAGCGTTCCGAGCATAAAAGCAAAAATGTTTTGTCAAATGTCGGTACCTACATATGTATGTATGTATGTATACTTCTTAGAAATTTTCAATGTTTTCTTATTCATTGTACCAGTGACAGGACAATCAAAATTCAAAGTAATCATCAAAACTTTGGGCTCTTCCACAAGATCATCATGTACTTACTCATCAACTTCAGCTTCACTTTACTGGCTTTTCCGATCTGAGGAGGAATTTTTACACAAATTTAATTGTATCCTGATTTCGAGAGTCACAAGAACCATGAATTTCAAATTCACCAACGCCAGGATCCTGAATGCCAGATGTGCATTTAATACTATGTAGAGGCCTAACTTAATGGCAGCATTGCTTCCGCGTTATTATTTTAAAATTAAGTTCATCTTAACTTTGAGATTAACTCATACCTTCTTACTTGAAATTTAGGATATTTGTCACGACTTTCTAACGAAGAATTATAAACTTGAAAAATACTTCGCCTTCGCACTTAAAAAATTCTGAAGGCATAGCAAATTTACTGCTTCAGCAGTGCGGCTACAAGTTAAGCTATAAATTTAGGTTTAGTTTTGAGTTTGACACTAATATTTTCGAAGACGTAGAACATACTCTGTAAGTATACTGCCAAAAACACGTCGGAACACTCAACAGCACGCGAAGTATTGAAGGTGTGGGCTGCAATTAATATGAGAGTTATAAAGTTTCATGGTAGTTTTTATTCAGTACTGCCCACAAAATGCCCCCTTTCGTTGGTCCAAAACCTTCACCCTGTTCTGTCCCAATTGCAGCCAAAGGGTGACCACCCGTATAAAGTCGAGGTCCACCACCAAGACGGATATCCTAGCTCTGATGCTGTGCTGCCTCATGTAAGTTGCTTTACATTCAACTTTTAAACACTAAAAATATATTGAATGAATTTCAAAGCTTAAAACTCTGGTCAATTTGATTTGAAGTATACCTGATTTTGAACATCAAAACTGTATATAGTTTTTTAAAATGATACCATAGTTATATGTAAAAGCTATTTAATTATCGAAAATTTTAATTTTATTTAAAACTAATAAATATAGTCTATGATGAGCTGACCATTAATTCAAATCAACGTGTAATTATAATAACTTATTCTGTTTTATAGTTGTTGGCCCTGTGCCTGCTGCCTCTACTGCACCAAATTGGCTCGGAACTCTAACCATTACTGCTGCAAAGCTTTCGTTGGTACCTACAAGCGTTAAGAACCTTTTGGAGACAGTCTTTGCTTTCTTCACTTTTCCGGAAATAAATTTCCCCAACTCTAGGGACATCTTAACTGCTTAATATTTTCGTTTAGAAATTTCAATCGATCCTTACATTGTAACGTTTATTAACACGCACACTAGGCAGTTTTTTATCTGAGACATGAATAAAATATTTCCTGCAATATAAAAAAACGTGAAAATTATTAAAAAAAAAAAAATGTTACGTTAGTAATTTTAAATAAACGATTTTTACATAATTTTTGAAATTTATGTCTTTCAGTTCTAGTTTTTTGGTAAATATATAAAACCCTATTGTTCATATGGAACTAGTTTTCTTTTATTAACTAAAATTATTTAATAAATTTCTTAGCAACACTAGAGCTGGCAACATTATTGCAGCAACATGTGGCAGGAAGCAGCAAAATTAAAAAATTTTACCGCGCATAAGGTCTTGCCACAGAAGACAATCGCAGCTCAAACGGTGCGCAATAGGGTTCGGCTTACTAAAAAATTCGAATTTCACTTCGAGTTTTACACCCTTTATTTTGACGTCGTAGATATATTCAGTAAGTATTCGGCAGAAACTTAAAATGCAGAAAGCGTAAAACTGGTACACATATGGGCAACGGATTTTGAAAGTCAAGTTCAACTATATTTTTTTTGAAAAAGCCAAGTCAAATTGAGTATTACGCTGGTTAAAAAAGGGACAACGCCTTTGGGAGGATTACGGCTCGTTCGGCGCTCCTTGAAAATTAGTTTTGGGGAAAAGTGACGAAAGGCACGCATGGTTACAGGTGGATTCCAGGGCGGTATTAATCACTGGCGCCGGACACACCTTCAGCTTAATGATAATACCATGCTTTGGTCGGAGCAAGTGTGTATATAAATAGATTGTGTTGATTTTGGGCAAGGTCTGACCGCGTAAACAAATTGTGAAGGAAGTGCCACCAGGGAGCAGGGAGATGATGGATGGAATGGGGGTTGAATGGGGCACAGAGAGACGTGGTTAAGCGATGACGACATCGGCAGACAGTTTGCCACATGGCCTTCCATATTTTCGGTTTCAGTGGGTCTCCCAAGATGACCTCACACATTTATAATTCAAGACCAAAAGAAATTGAACTGGATAGCGAAACAATTAACGAGAGATAAGCTTGATCACAGCTTGTTTGCATGGTGGGTGTACAATTAAGATCTCCATCACACAACTAATTCAATGCTTATGCACCAACGGCACGCGAAGTTTTCAAGGTCGTTTCCCCAATCAATAGCAGAGTTATTAGAGCTTCATGTTTGTTTCTCTGCAGTACTGCCATCAAAATGTCAACTCCCGTTGGTCCGGAGCCCTGCAACGTGGTCTGCCCCAGTTGCCACCAACAGGTCACCACCCGTATAGAGCCGAAGGCCACCACCAAGACGCACATCATAGCTCTGATCATGTGCCTCACCTGGTAAGCTCATTATTTCATGTCACCATGCCTATCTGTAAAGTGATCTATCAATAACTTGACTTGAATAGAATATATATACACAAACAAATCGACTAGTTAAATTGATAAATATAATAGTAAAACGGTCCCCAACCATCGAATTGAAAATTTTACCCATCAAATAGTTACTCTAACGTAATACTTAAACATAAGGGTTACTATAAAAACCATAAAAAATGAATGGATCCATACCATGGATTGTAGTTGGATAACGGTTTTGATAGTTATCATACCCATAAAATATAGTTAATACATTTTTTATAATTGAAGATATAAATAATTAATTGTTAAACTTATTAATTCAATTCAATGTTACGTCACTGAAGCCCGTATTTCTTTTCTTTAAAAAAGCCATTTTCAAAATGAACTTTTTAAAAGTGACTTCCAGCTAGTGTGGAAGAATGTTAAAGACGAAGTAAAAAAACTATGTTAATAGTGTCTTCACTACTAAATAGTACACAAAGTAAATTTTAAATAGTAAAGTAACATTTTTTATAGTTACTAAACTTTCTGCATTGGTCAATTTTACCAACCAAATTTTTTTGTGAGTAGATTTTGTGGTAATAATAATAACATTATATCTTATATTGTTTATAGCTGCTGGCCCTGTGCTTGCTGCCTCTACTGCACCCAATGTGCCCGGAACGCTGACCATCACTGTCCCTCATGTAACGCTTTTATTGGCACCTACGAGCGCTAAGGAACTTCTGGCAGAAGTCTTTGCTTTTCCGTGGTCTGCGGCCAGCAGCCGTGACGAAATGCAATCCAAATCATCTTTAAACTCCGTTGTTACCTCTCTCACATTTCTTAATACGCAATATTTTGTAAGCACGCAAAACATTGTTGTACCAACTTAAGCTTTTTGTAATTTTAGCACAGCAATAAAAAGATTCAAGAAAGAAACGAATGACTTTTACTGGGTTTCAGAAAAATGATTTCCATTATCAGGGGTGTATCATGAATATTTTTGGGGAACATTTTCAGGGAAAAGCTTCTCCCAAAACTTGGGTGTCTGTGACACCACGTATGAGAACTTGTAGTGTATTGCAATAAGTTGATTTGCTTTCATATACTTCTAACATAATATCCCTTAAGTGCAACAAGTAATTATTCACAGCTCACAGGACCGAGTGCTTAGGGGATTCTAAATACTGCGCAGCGAAAATGGTGTGAATACTGACAAAGAGCTGATATTTCCTATATAACAGCTAAGTATCCAGTCAAAACTTGCTTGCAAAAAAAATTATTGATAAAGTTGGTGAATAAGGAATTATGAAATAAAATACATATAAGCTGAAGAATACGTTCTAATCTGCACATAGCTTTGGTCGGGAATTGCTTAGTGAGCGCATCGTAGGCTATACGAAATTCCCACCACTCTCGCAAATGGAAAGAACGGACAGAAAACGAATTTTAGGTCCCGTCTGCGGAGCTCACTTCAGTCGACTGCCTGAATTCAACCGCGTAGCACTTCGGTCGGAAATAAATAAAGCGAATAATGGAGAAGAATTTCCCGTACGACCAACAGCAAACTCATTCTCCCCAGGCACCGCCCTGCTATGACAACACCCAGGTCTATCCTAATTTGAATCAGCCCCAGGCGATTTTGCAACAACCTCAGATAATGCAGGGTAAGTACTAACAAATACACCTTACTTAATGGACCTTATTTAATGGACATTACCTACGCAAAGTCTAAAACATTATGAAGACTACATTGATTTTGAGAAAGATGTATATGATGAAAATAGAATTTTCACATGTTATATGTGGATTATTTATGCTTTGAGAGCAAGTATATGTTTCATAAAATATGATAAGATCTTTATCAGTATTGGTTCTACGTAATGCTTGTACAATAAGGAATTAACAAATCTATTTGGTTTCTTCCAGCACCCCCCAATGTGTTGGGTGGTGTACCATCCATGGCCACGTGTCCAAGCTGCGGAGTCCGTAGGCAAACGAAGGTCGAGTTCGAGCCAAGTACCAAAACCCATTTGCTGGCCCTCCTTATCTGCATGCTGGGGTATGTGAATCGAGTTTGCTGCCTTAGACAATGAAATAATACCACCCATCTGGTTTTTCAGGGGCATTTGCTGCTGCTGCATTCCCTACTGCACCGACTCCTGCCAGTCGGCCAAACACACCTGCAGTAGCTGTGGAGCCTATGTGGGCACATACAAGAACTAGAAGTCCCGCCCGAAAACCGAATATCACAAAGATAAATCTCAAAAGAGCAAATATAATTTGTTCAAGTATATAAATATTGACGTCATGCTACGCGAAAAATGTAGTGGAACGAAACCCTGTATTTTTAATAGAATTCCACCACCTTGTATTGATCTTCGAAATCAGACTTACCACACCAGGATACTTAACCATTGCACCTATCCCAGTTTATATTTTGAAAAATCCTGTTATGTACATTCAATTAAAATAAATAAATACACCTGCTGTTATGACTTGTGAAACTTGCGGGTATCCAGGACTCTAGCAAAAAATATCGGAGATCAAATAGGTAAGAACCAATTAAAAATTATTTTTGATTGATCTAACGGAACAGAACGGTCATAGTTGGAAAAAATATTCAGAATTTATTGTGAAATTGGTCTTAAATTGTAGTCGTATTGCCAATTTCCTGAGAGCCTGTTAAGAGGAGAGTTAGCTATATATCCGACAAAGTTACTTGTCATAAAAATCATGTTTCGGGCTTCGGTTTGTCTGAAAAAGAAACGAATTATGCCCATTTATACTTGAGTTTTTGTGTTAGCTCTTTACTTAAAAAAATAATAACAAGTCTTGGAACAAATATCAATTTTCTTTACTAAATATCTTTCTGAGAAATCTTAAATAGCCTTAAGAAAACTTCACCTCAAAGAAATATTGGTTTTACACCTGCTTGTTTTTCATTAAAAATCAATTAATAAATGGCTTAAGCTAGACTTTTCTAAAAAGGCTGGTGTTTTCAATACCCAACTTATATTTTAAAGTGATTTCGTAACCCAACTGATTTCTGTGGTACTCAGTATAAAATTTTGTATAGGATATCGTAAACAAATTTTGTTTGTTTTTAAAGCAATAGTCGCGACTGTGAAAACTGATAAAAAGTGCACGAATGCTGACCGAATCGTCATTTTTTTTATGCAATTCTTTCAAAAAGTTTGGGGGTGAGGATGCTTATAAGCTTTTTTATAGATACAAAAAGGGTACTTAAAATAAAATTTTAACTTTTGAGAAGACCCATATCCCAATGTTCAATATTGTATTATATACAGAAGAAATTTTAGTCTTCTAGTTATCGTCTATGTACAATGTGTATATGTATTTATATGCTACATAAATAGTTCCAAGCGGTGCAAACGCTAATAAAAATGAGTTTTTAATTTGATGTGCCACATGCCACAAATTTCTCACAGAATGTGAGATCAACAGTTATTGACTTCAATTATTTTGATCCTGAATGAATAAATGGCTTATTCTCCTAAATTAATCAAGATCGCATAATCATACCAGTCGCAATATTATTCAAAAGCTTATAAATTACTAAGTTGTTGAATAAATCAAGTAACAAAGTTTTTACCCTAAAGCAATATGTTGACCATATTATTTATTTGTCGTATTTTTAATTGAATTTAAAATACTGAATAATTTTGTATTTTTAATTTTTTGTCTATTTACAATGTACATATGTATGTATATCAAGAAATATGTATGCGTCATATCACAATTGGTCCAAAGGAAATGGGAATACTCAGTTAAAGGCGTCAATCCTCTTTTTATATAAATGACTAATTTTTTCCAATTCTTTTTAAAGATGATAATGGTTTATTATTCAGTAAAACATTCAACATGAAAGTGCTCTTGGTACAAAGTGAAGTGCATTGTGTTGTTGTTGTGTCTAAGGAACTCCATCTTACGTTTGCATTTATGTACCAATTATGAAATGTTTTTTCTTTCACATATTCTCTTCAGTATTCATTGTTAGTAGGCAAATAATGTTAGACACTTATTTGTAATTTTAATCAATTCTCAATTACCAATAAAGTTTTTTAAGCATGACGTGACAATAGTCTTGACTATTTTCAACCACCTCTTTCTTAATTGTTTGCCCATAAGCAATGAATTTCATTCAATTTGGTTATGTATTTAAATAGACGATTCGTGGTTGACATTCGAGTGCGCAATAATTATTATTAACTTTATAAAACTAGGCATTTTTGGATTTTCTTGACTCATTGATAGCCCTGCACATTATTCGCCCATTAAAAATAGCTTATCATCTGAACATCCGGAATAAAAAGCAAAGCGTGATTCATTCCGGACTTGTTATTTCATCGTACTCGTCGATCGAACTGTAAGAGTTATCATTTTGATGCAGTGCAATTGCAATGCACAAGTTCAGTAATGAGTTGTTTGCGGCTTGCAACAGAATGGAATCAATTGTATACGATAAAGAATTAAAACTTCAGGAGGAATACCAAGAGATTCCCGCTCCTCCTCCTCTTCCACCGCAGCCCCAAGTATTTCAGCCAATTGCAAAGCGAAATCAATTTATGGATCGTAAGGATTGTTATGAATGTCAACAAAAAATCGCTCAGAGTACGATGACTTGCGAAGACTTCCAAATTTGGAAACGAGGTAGGGGGTGTGTCGTGAGATATTGGTAATAAATTGTGTTTGCTAATACATATAATAATATAAAGCAAATTTTACAATTCTTTACAGCGAAACTTGTGCATTAAAACTATATTAAATTTAAGTCTAACTTAAAACATTATATTATAAAATATATTTCTGAGTAAAATTTCCGTAAGTAAGAGTTTCTGTTCCATCCGATTTGGAAATTTCTCAGAAGAACCTTACTTAAACATTATTAATATTGCGTGGATGGAAAGAGAGTTCAATAAGTTATAACATTACAATAGCAACATGCAGCCGGCAGCAAGATTACATTGCTCTGAAATAAAGACAGTCGGTTCTTGCAGTACGAACAGAAATGTCGGATGATTTGAGCTGTCCCAACTGCGAATCAAAATCCATTACCAGGAAAAGATACTTGGCCATATCAAGAATGAAAAAGTTTAAGATGGATTTCTGGTAAGTAATAATTTTATTGTTCTTTAATCTCAAATGAGACTTCCTTCCCTTAAGCGCTTTATGCTGCGGACGGCGATACTGTGGAGTTGGAATTTATAAATACGTTTTCAAGTGTCGATCCTGTGGCTGGAAGGGCAATCCCAACCCTTCACACTAATATGCGCGCATCACGATATAATGTTAAAATGAAAATGTCAGTCAGCTGTTATTTTCCGTTTTCCACTAAAAAGCTGTTTAAGTATAAAAAATAGCCAGCAATTGAAAAGCTTTGATCTGTATCAAACAAAAACATCTCTTTAAAAGGTAACCATCTAGTGACGATCGCACTTTGAAGATATACATTTTTATATTACATTTTGTGACGAAAAAATATTATACATTCGACTAAATAAGTGTCCCTTTTTAATTGTCTTATTCGCCCACCGTCGGCAAAATATTTAAGTTGTAAAATTAAAAAATTCTACTAAGTGAAAGAGCCGAACGAATATTGGACGCCTTAGTTTAGTGGCTAAATCGGAACGAAAAGCACATCGTACGGAACTGCACAAAAAAAAGAATGGATAAAAAAAGTCAGGGTAAATATTAAAAAACCTTATCTAAGTTGCAAACAGTTACTTTTTTGAAAATTTGAAAATATTGTTAAGTACCAAAAATCGTAAAAATAATTATTTAGCAAATACGTTTGATCTTCTATAAGTTGAAAAGTCTTTGAGGAAAACCTGATAGCTCTCCGACAAATCTTCCTAAGTGTATTTGTACTAAAATTTCACCCTAAAAGAACTATAAATAAATATTTAAAAGAAAATTAAGACACAAATGAGTTTCGTTAAATAAGATTTTCTTAATTTTTAGCACCCCCAAGTGTGTTGGGAAAAAATCCATCCATGGCCACATGTCCGAGATGCGGAGTCCGCGGCCAAACGGTGGTCAATTATGAGGCAAATGCAAATACTCATTTGGTGGCCCTCTTTATCTGCTTGGTGGGGTAAGTAATTCAAGTTTGAATCTTTTTGCCAATTCGACTAATCGTAGTTCTTAGGGGCATCTGTTGCTGCTGCATTCCGTACTACAAAAACTCCTGCAAGACGGCCAAGCACTCCTGCGGTAGATGTGGAGCCTACGTGGGAACATGCAAGAACTAGAAAACCTAAATATCCTGCAGATCAAAATCGCCAAAAGCATTAATTTTCATATTTTTTGTATTTACCATATTTACTTTATATCAATATATACCAGAATAAGAATAGTTATGTCCTAATAAATCAAAAAAATAAATTGTATTTAACATTTTCAATTGGTTTCTAAGCTGCGTAGGAAAAGAATTAGGACGCGCAAAAATCCGCTCTCACAGATACACCTAAAATAAGCTCTTCGTTCCAATGAATGCGAAATCATGTCATGATCAAGGTCTAGCTCTCTCAAATAGGAAGCATGGAAGAGGTAGAGGGTGTGTCGTGAGATATTGGTCATAAATTGTGTTGGCTAGTGCACATAATACTAAAAAGCATTTATTAAATTAAAGTCTAACTTAAAAATCTATTTTAAGAATGTTTCGTTAGTAAGAGATTCTGTTTCACCCAAATTCGAAATTTCTCAGTGGAACCTCTCTTGAACATTATTTATTTTGCGTAGATGGAAAGAGAGTTCAACTATGACTCGTTAATTACAATAGCAACATGCAGCCGGCGACAAGATTACATTGCTCTGAAATAAAGACAGTCTGTTCTTGCAACGAACAGAAATCTCGAATGATTTAAGCTGTCCCGATTCGAAGCCCATGATCAGGAAAAGATACTTGGCACTAAGATGCGCACGTCATAAATGAAAAATAGGTCACGATAAAATGAAAATGTCAGTCAGCTTCTGTATATTCAGTTTTCCACTAAAAAACTGTATAAAAAATCGGCAGCAATTGAAAAGCTCAGAGAAAACAGAAACACTTCCTTAAAGAGTAACAAACTAGTGACGATCGCACTTTTAACGTATACATTTTTATATAAACTTTTGTAAAGAAAATATATGATGATACATTAAAAAAAAAATGGTCATCAATATGCTTATATTTAGTGTCAAAAAATCTGTGATACGAAAGACGTCAAATTGAGCCTAATATAGCATCACTTTGCCACTAAAAAAAAGTTGTTTACGATATAGCTTTTTTATGACAGAAAAGCATTTTGCCGCAGGATAGAACAATGTAGGCATGGCTCAGAGTGCTAGCGCATTGTTTTTAAAAGTTAGTGGTTCGAGTACCGCTCGTGACATAGTTTTTAATCTGAAAACTTTTTAAATACAACTTTGTTATTACAATTGATAAGGAAATGTTTGATATTATTCTTAAAAATATTTCAGCGTACTCTGCATCGGCGGGTACTTGAACCGGGGACCTTTCGCATCAGAGACAGACATCTTACCAATTGGTCTATCGCAAAACGTTTTCCGCGAGTATTTGGTTCAAATGCCATGACAACCGATACTTGAGCATAGTTTGAAACTCGAACAATCAAAAAAAGCTTTTATCGGTATGAAAGTATCATAAATTTATCATAACTTTTTAAATTGATCCCAAAAATTTGATCCTAGGTGTAGTGTCATTTTTATCCACACTTATCAAATTAGCACTCAAAGTTTTTTTTCTATGTCGCGCTGGGAATAGAATTTGCACACGCGAAAATCGCTTCTCTCACATACACCAGAAAATAGCTTTATGATCCAGTGAATACAAATTCTTGTCATGATCAAGGCCTGTCTACCAAGTAAAAGAGCCAAACGAATACTGGACCCCTTAGTTTAGTGGCTAAATCGGAACGAAAAGCACATCGTACGGAACTACAAAAAAAAGAATGGATAAGAATAGTCAGGGTAAATACTAAGAAACCCTACCTAAGTTGCAAATAGTTATTTATTTTGGAACTGTGAAAATATTGTTAAATACCAAAACTTATAAAAATTAAATAATATATATTTGATTTGATTTTCTATAAGTTGAAAAGACTTTGAAAAAAAGCTGATAGCGTTTTGTCAAATCTTCCTAAGTGGATTTGTATTAAACTTTCGACCTAAAAGAACTATATAAAAATGATATATCTTAAAAGAAAATTAAGACACAAAAGAGTTTCGTTAAATAAGATTTTTCTAATTTTTAGCACCCCCAAATGTGTTGGGAAAAAATCCATCTATGGCCACGTGCCCGAGTTGCGGAGTCCGCAGGCAAACGGTTGTCGATTATGAGTCAAGTACCAAGACTCATTTGGTGGCCCTCCTTATCTGCTTGGTGGGGTAAGTAATTCAAGTTTGAACCTTTTTGCCAATTCGACTAATCGTAATTCTTAGGGGCATATGTTGCTGTTGCATTCCGTACTGCAAAAACTCCTGCAAGACGGCCAAGCACTCATGTAGTAGCTGTGGAGCCTACGTGGGAACATACAAGAACTAGAAATCATATCTTAAAGACAAAAAAACTTTCATTTTCATATTTTGTATAATTTTCATATTTCCTTCATATCAATATAAACCAGAATAAGAATAATTATGTACTAATAAATAAAAAAAATTATTTTTTCACCTTCTATTATTAGCGATAGACATTCAACACTCAGAGCAAAAAAATTGATCACTTTGTTCGTCTATCTTTCATCTTTGGTTCATGGGTAACCATACGTTACCCCACTGATTCAAATTTTAAGTATACAGGTTGAAAAAAGTATTTGCATACTTTTATGCGCTGATCCCGTTACTTGTAGAGTAAATGGTTATTTTTACCCAAAGAGTAAATTGTATTTGTGGAAAGTATGTAAAAGACAGATAAAGAGTTTCCGACCCTATGAATAAGTAATCTTCATTAGGATCACACGTCGAGTTCATTATATATATTATTATTAAGCACTTTGTTCGACTATCTTCCATCTTCAAATATTAGGTATACGGCATTCATTTCGTACAAGTGTAGACCTACTTTTCTGTTTATGCAGGCACCTTTGCTGGTCAAAAGTCATTTTACGAAATTCGTTAACACTTTGATCTGACACCTTCGATCGCAGAGTAAGTTGGTCAACATCTGTTCTGATGATCCTTGTTAACTCCAGTGCAAAACATGCATGTACATTTTACATTGAAGCTAATTTGCTCCCTTTCTTGTCGGTTGGCCTAAATTCTATATTTTCAAATCCAAACCAGCCCTTTAGCTCCAGTAGGTCAAAAAACAAAAGAATATTAAGTAATTTTAAACTATGTCAAATTAAAAACATGTGTTTAAAAAAGGTTTACCAACGTCCATTAAAAAAAAAAAAAACCATAACTTATGATATTATTTAAAAGTTGGCAAATTTTAGTCACCTCTTTTTTTTTATGTTTGCGATTAATAAGCTTATTCAGTCGTGCAGCTTTGAGGTGGAACATATGTTTAAAATAAATAAAAAGTGAGCCACTAAAAGCTCCACATTGAAAACAAAACAAGGTTTTTAAGTAATAACCTTTGTATATTAATGTTTTTTTTTTAACATTTTTAATATATAGGTTTTTTATTAAAAATCTGTAAGGATATGTGTTGATTATCAGAATATAATATTCGGAGAAAGACAATGTTCTTACGATCAAATCATTTTTGTTTGGGTAGAGCAAGCTGCTGACCGTATGACCCATGTATGTATTTAACATTTTCAATCCGTTTCTAAGCTGCGTAGGAAAAGAATTAGCACGCGCAAAGATCCGCTCTCACAGTACACTTAAAAAAAGCTTTTCGTTCCAGTGAATACAAATTCATGTCATGAACAAGGTCTAGCTCTCTCAGATAGGAAGCATGGAAGAGCCAAACGAATTTCGGGCCCTTTAGTTTGGCGGCTGAATCTGAACGTGGAGCACATCGATCGGAATTGTATATTGATAGAAATGGAGAGCCACAAGCCGTTCAGTTATAACCCTCAGGAAGTTCCTCCAATTTTAAATCAGCCACAATCAACACAGCCGCTAATTATTCTGGGTAAATAAGAAAAAAAATTCTATCTAAAGTGCCAATAATTTTTTTAATTTAATCGTTGTACCTACATAGGTAAACAATCTTTGAATGTATAAAAGCATTTTTTTTATTTTTATGTTAATGTTTTTATGCATACACATTGGTGCCCCATATTTTGACAATGCGTTGGGTAAAATCTTATCTTATCTTTTTCTAATAAACAGCAAACAAATTATATCTTACAGCAAAGTGAAGAGTTTAATGTGATAACATTTGGGCTAAAATGTTTACAGACGATTTATATGTTTTTTAATTTTTAGCTCCGCTAAATGTGCTGGGGAAAACTTCATCTATGGCGACGTGCCCGAGCTGCGGTGTCCGCAGTAAAACGAAGGTCGAGTATGAGGCAAGAAACAATACTCATTTGCTGGCCCTCCTTATTTGCTTGGTGGGGTAAGTAATTCACGTAAGAAATCTTTGCCATTTGCGCTAAACCCGTTTTTTAGAGGTGTTTGTTGCGTTTGCTGTCCGTACTGGAACGATTCCTGCCAGTCGGCCAAACACACCTGCAGTAGCTGTGGAGCCTATGTGGGCACATACAAGAACTAGAAGTCCCACCCGAAAACCGAATATCACAAAGATAAATTTCAAAAGAACAAATATAATTTGTTCAAGTATATAAATATTGACGTCATGCTACGCGAAAAATGTAGTAAAACGAAACCCTGTATTCTCAATATAATTCCACCACTTTATATTGATCTTCGAAATTAGACTTACCACACCATGATACTCAACCATTGCGCCTATCCCAGTTTATATTTTGAAAAATCCTATTATGTATATTTGTACATTCAATAAAAATAAATAATTACACCTGCCGTTACGACTTGTGAAACTTGCGGGTATCCAGGACTCAAGCAATAACTATCGTTAAGCAAATAGGTAAGAACCAATTACAATTTTTTTTGGTTGATCTAACGGAACAGAACGATCATAGTTGGAAAAAATATTCAGGATTTGTGGAATTTGTCTTAAATTGAAGTCGTATTGCCGATTTCTTAAGAGCCTGTTAAGGGGAGAGTTAGCTATATATCGTAAAATTATATAAAGTTTCGGTTTGTCTGAAAGAGAAACAAATTATGTCCATTTATACTTGTGGGTTTGTGTTAGCTCTTTAGTTCAAAGAATAATAACAAGTTTTGGAATGAATATCAATTTTCTTTACTAAATATCTTTCGGAGAAATCTTAAATAGCCTTGAGAAAACTTCACCTCAAAGAAATATTGGTTTTACATCTTCAAAAATCAATTGATAAATGGCTTAAGCTAGACTTTTAATCAGAAATTACTGCGTAAAACAAAACAACTTACATTTTAAAGTGATTTCAAACCCCAAGTGATTTCTGTGGTACCCAGTATACATTTTTGTATAGGAAATCGTAAACAAATTTTGTTTGTTTTTAAAGCAAAAGTCATGCACATAAGCTCTTGCGAATTCGCGGTGATAATTCTTTCAAAAAGTTTGGGGGTGAGGATGCTAATAGGCTTTTTAATAGATAAAACAAGGAAGAACGTTATAGTCGAGTACCTCGACTATCAGATACCCGTTACTCAGCTAAAAGGATTAAAGGGAAATGGAGATATGCAAGCAGCAAAGCGAGATTAAAATACGCCACCTACCGGCGGTAGACAGATTTAAGCGTTATGGGCGTGGCAAATTTTTTTTGGATCAATCGATAGGTATTGACGAGACCAATACATTTCAGTTACAATTTTTATACTAGCATCAAAACTGTAGGAGCCACAGTTTTGGGCGGTTTGTGGGCGTAAGAGTGGGCGTGGCACATTGTTGAAACAAACTTGCGCTGCGTATAAAGTTCAGGAATCTGCACGCCAAATTTCAATAGCCTAGCTCTTAAAGTTTCCGAGATCTCAGCGTTCATCCGGACGGACAGACAGACGGACAGAAATACGGACAGACAGACGGACAGACAGACGGACAGACAGACGGACATGGCTAGATCGACTCGGCTAGTGATCCTGATCAAGAATATATATACTTTATGGTCTACGAGTAACGGGTATAAAAAACGTACTTAAAATAAAAGGTTAACTTTTAAGAAAACCCATATCCCAATGTTCAATATTGTATTGTATACAGAAGAAATTGTTATCTTCAAGTTATCGTCTATGTACAATGTGAATATGTATTTATATGCTACATAAATAGTTCCAAGCGGTGCAAACGCTGATAAAAATGTGTTTTTAATTTGATGTGCCACATACCACAAATTTCTCATAGAATGTGAGATCAACAGTTATTGACTTTAATTATTTTGATCCTGAATGAATAAATGGCTTATTCTCCTAAATTAATCTAGATCGCATAATCATACCAGTCGCAATATTATTCAAAAGCTTATAAATTACTAAGTTGTTGAATAAATCAAATAACAAAGTTTTTACCCTAAAGCCATCGCTTTAGGTGCATGTCTTCCCGTTTAAAAGATATACTATTGCTTCCAACGAAAATGTATCTTATTGAGTATCGAAAGGCATTCAATTGTAAATAACTGATAATAAAATGTAATTAATCAATTAACAACGATACCTTTTAATATTTTACCATAGACAAAGGGTACAACCATTTTTTTGAAAAGTTACAACTTTTTAAAGCATAAATAATCAAATATTAAATGTTGACCATATTATTTAACATTGTTGTTGTATTTTTAATTGAATTTAACATACTGAATAATTTTGTATTTTTAATTTTTTGTCTATGTACAATGTACATATGTATGTATATCAAGAAATATGTAGGCGTCATATCACAATTTGTCCAAAGGAAATGGGAATACTCAGTTAAAGGCGTCAATCCTTTTTTATATAAATGACTAATTTTTCCCAATTCTTTTTAAAGATGATAATGGTTTATTATTCAGAAACACATTCAACATGAAAGTGCTCTTGGTACAAAGTGAAGTGCATTGTGTTGTTGTTGTGTCTAAGGAACTCCATCTTACGTTTGCATTTATGTACCAATTATGAAATGTTTTTTCTTTCACATATTCTCTTCAGTATTCATTGTTAATAGGCAAATAATGTTAGACACTTATTTTTATTACCAATAAAGTTTTTTAAGCATGACGTGACAATAGTCTTGACTATTTTCAACCACCTCTTTCTTAATTGTTTGCCCATAAGCAATGAATTTCATTCAATTTGGTTATGTATTTAAATGGACGATTCGTGGTTGACATTCGAGTGCGCCATAATTATTATTAACATTATAAAACTAGGCATTTTTGGATTTTCTTGACTTATTGATAGCCCTGCACATTATTCGCCCATTAAAAATAGCTTATCATCTGAACATCCGGAATAAAAAGCAAAGCGTGATTCATTCCGGACTTGTTATTTCATCGTACTCGTCGATCGAACTGTAAGAGTTATCATTTTGATGCAGTGCAATTGCAATGCGAAAGTTCAGTAATAAGTTGATTGCGGCTTGCAACAGAATGGAATCAATTGTATACGATAAAGAATTAAAACTTCAGGAGGAATACCAAGAGATTCCCGCTCCTCCTCCTCTTCCACCGCAGCTCCAAGTATATCAGCCAATTGCAAAGCGAAATGAATTTATGGATCGTAAGGATTGTTAGGAATGTCAACAAAAAATCGCTCAGAGTACGATGGCTTGGGAAGACTACCAAATTTGGAAACGTGGTAGGGGGTGTGTCGTGAGATATTGGTAATAAATTGTGTTTGCTAATACACATATTATTATAAGGCAAATTTTACAATTCTTTACAGCGAAACTTGTGCATTAAAACCTTATTAATTTAAAGTCTAACTTGAAATTAGAAATTAAAAAATATATTTCTTATTAAAATTTTCGTAAGTAGGAGATTCTGTTCCACCCGATTTCGAAATTTCTCAGAAGAACCTCACTTAAACATAATTAATATTGCGTGGATGGAAAGAGAGTTCAATAAGTCACATAATTACATAGCAACATGCAGCCAGCATCAAGACTACATTGCTCTGAAATAAAGACAGTCGGTTCTTGCAGTACGAACAGAAATGTCGGATGATTTGAGCAGTCCCAACTGCGAATCAAAATCCATTACCAGGAAAAGATACTTGGCCATACCACAAATGAAAAAGTTTAAGATGGACTTCTGGTAAGTAATAATTTCATGTGTTCTATTATATCGAACAAGATTTTCTTTCCCTTAGCGCTTTATGCTGTGGACGGCGGTACTGTGGAGTTGGAATTTATAAAACCGTTTACAAATGTCAGTCCTGTGGCTGGAAGGGAAATCCCAACCCTTCACACTATCGATGAAAAATAGGTCGCGATATAATGTTAAAATGAAAATGTCAGTCAGCTGTTGTATCTTCCGTTTACTACTAAAAAACTGGTTAAGTATAAATTAATGATTTTGGTAGAGCAAGCTGCCGACTATAGGTATTTCTATGCCGCGCTGGGAATAGAATTTGCACATGCGAAAATCGCTTCTCACACATACATAGAAAATAGCTTTATGTTCCCAATGGATACAAAGTCATGTCATGATCAAGGCCTGGCTACCAAGTGAAAGAGCCAAACAAAAATATTCGACCCCTTAGTTTAGTGGCTGAATCAGAACGAAAAGCATATCGTACGGAACTACACAAAAAAAAAGAATGGATAAGAAAAGTCAGTGTAAATATTAACAAACCTTATCTAAGTTGCAAATAGTTACTTTTTTGGAACTTTGAAAGTATTGTTAAGTACCAAAAATCATAAAAAATAAATATGTATTTAGCAAATACGTTTGATCTTCTATAAGTTGAAAAGACTTTGAGGAAAATCTGATAGCTCTCCGACAAATCTTCTTAAGTGTATTTGTGTTAAAATTTCACCCTAAAAGAACTATAAATAAATATTAAAAAGAAAACTAACCAACAAAAGAGTTTCGTTAAATAAGATTTTTTTAATTTTTAGCACACCCAAGTGTGTTGGGAAAAAATCCATCCATGGCCACATGTCCGAGGTGCGGATTCCGCGGCCAAACGGTGGTCAATTATGAGGCAAATGCCAATACTCATTTGGTGGCCCTCTTTATCTGCTTGGTGGGGTAAGTAATTCATGTTTGAACCTTTTTCCAATTCGAATAATCGTAATTTTTAGGGGCATCTGTTGCTGCTGCATTCCGTACTGCAAAAACTCCTGCAAGACGGCTACCTTCCATCTTCAAACACTAAGTACCCTGCATTTATTTCGTAGAAATTGAAGCCTACTTTACTTTTTATCCATAGCCACCTTTGCTGGTCAAAAGTCTTTTTACGAAATTCGTTAAAACTATAATCTGACCCCTTCGATCGCTAAATAAGTTGACCAACATCTGTGCTGATGATCCATGGTAACTCCAGTATAAAATATGCATGTATGTACATTTTACACAGAAGCTAATTTACACCCTTTGTTGTCGGTTGGCCTAAGTTCTGTATTTTCAAATCTAAACCAGTGCTTTAACACCAGTTGGCCAAAAAACAAAAGAACATCAAGTAATTTCAAACTATTTCTAATTAAAATTTTAAAAAAACCAACCACTCCTTATATTTATTAAAAGTTGGCAAATTTCAGTCAGCTCTTTTTTTATGTTTGCGATCAAAAAGCTTATTCAGTCGTTCTGCTTTGAGGTGCAACATATGTTTAAAATAAATAAATAGTGAGCAACTAAAAGCTCCACATTGAAAACAAATCAATGTTTTGAGTAATCCCCTTTGCATGTTAATGTTTTTTAACATTTTCAATATATAGGTTTTTTGATAATAATCTGTAAGCATATGTTGTTGATTATCAGAATATAATATACAGAAAAAGGCAGTGTTCTTGCGATCAAATCATTTTTGTTTGGGTAGAGCAAGCTGCTGACAGTATGACCCATGTATTTAACATTTTCAATCGGTTTCTAAGCTGCGTAGAAAAAGAATTAGCACGCGCAAAGATCCGCTCTCCCAAAAACACCTATAAAAAGCTTTTCATTCCAGTGATACAAATTCATGTCATGATCAAGGTCTAGCTCTCTCAGATAGGAAGCATGGAAGAGCCAAACGAATTTTGGACCCTTTAGTTTGGGGGCTGAATCGAAACGTGGAGCACATCGGTCGGAATTGTATATTGATAGAAATGGAGAGCCACAAGCCGTTCAGCTATAACCCCCAGCAAGTTCCTCCAATTTTAAATCAGCCACAATCAACACAGCCGCTAATTATTCTGGGTAAATAAGAAAAAAAATCCTATTAAAGTGCAAATAATTTTTTTAAATTATTGTTTGTAAAGAATCTTTGAATGTGTGACAGCTTTTTTTTATTTTTATGTTAATGTTTTTATGCATACACATTGGTGCCCCATATTTTGACAAAGCTTTGGGTGAAATCTTATCTTATCTTATTCTAATTAAAAAAGTTTTTCAAAAAGTGTCCAATAGGTCTTATTGGATATGTATTACCATAGATCGCTTTCAAACTATATACAATTACTATATACAAACGAGATATCTTACAGCAAAGTGAATAGAAAAGTGTTGTAAGAGTTTGGTGTAAAGAGATTTGGGTTAAAATGTTTACAGATGATAATTATATGTTTTTTAATTTTTAGCGCCCCTAAATGTGCTGGGGAAAACATCATCAATGGCGACGTGCCCGAGTTGCGGAGTCCGCGGTAAAACGAAGGTCGAGTATGAGGCAAGTAACAAGACTCATTTGCTGGCCCTCCTTATTTGCTTGGTGGGGTAAGTAATTCTTTTTGTCAGATCTTTTTGTAAGATCTTTTTGTCATTTGCACTAATCCCGTTTTTTAGAGGCGTTTGTTGCGTTTGCTGTCCGTACTGCAACGATTCCTGCCAGTCGGCCAATCACACCTGCAGTAGCTGTGGAGCCTACGTGGGAACATTCAAGAACTAGGAGTGCTGACCCTAAAACCAATGTCGCCCAAAGCTTTGTATATTCATTATTAGAAACCTCATACCATTAATATTTATGTTTCATTTATTGTGTAATTTGTAAAAAATAATCAAGCAATTTGTTCGTATTAAGAGTAATCTCATCTGTAGCCACGTGCTTAAAGTATTAAGAATTGGAAGATCAATACGTTAAAATTGTTCCCTACTTTTGTGCGCAGATCAAATATTTGTATACCCTTGCTGAGGGTATAATGATTTCAGTCAAAAGTTTGCAACGCAGTGAAGGAGGCGTTTCCGATCCGATATATATGTATATTCTTGATCAGCATTACTAGACGAGCCGATCTAACCATGTCCGTTGGTCCGTCCGTCCGTTTTTACGCAAAGTAGTCCCTCAGTTTACTTCCCAACAGTCTTTTTTCTATTGCATAGTATATAAGTCGAAAATAACCGGATCGGAAAACTATATCCAATAGCTCCCATAGGAATAATCAAAAAATTATTTTAAAAAAAATTTAAAAATATAAATCGTTATTTTAATATTTTATAATTTCGAAAAAAAATTTGTTTTTAAATTGGAGGATTTTATTATAGCTGGCATAATTAATGTCAAAATAATACAAAGACCGTTATATTTTGTTTTCGGTAATCATAAACAGTATAATTGAAATAGAACATTATCTCAAAATTTTTGTAATCTAAAAATTGAAAAACTCTGTAAATACAATGCTCCCACGGGATCGAACTGCAAGGGTATAGAAACTTCGGTCTGCCGAAAATAATTTTCGTTCTTATTTATAGTAGGGTAACCCCTGCTGGGCCTGTTAAGAAGAGAATTACAAAGAATCATCGTAAAAGTTTAAGCATATCGTCGTCATTTGTTGATTAGGTTGCATTTATATTTATAGGATATTAGTAGTTGTACAAAAGAGCACAAACACTCATAACCTTCTATAATGGATTCCTCTAGTTAGTTTATAGTTCATACCAAATAAAAAATGGGGCAAATGGACTCAACTTAATGTATAAATAATGTATTGAAATAATGCACTTTCGTTTTCATTGCTGGCATCTCGCTCAAGAACTGAAATAAATATACTCGTATTTATGAGTAATACATTTCGCAAAGCTATTGAAAATATTATTGATAACAGTCGGGTCTTATCAACGAAACTTGGAATTTCTTTGAAATTCGGGGGGAGAGTTTTGAGCGCAAATCTTTATTTATTGAGTAGAGCTCAGTTTTAAAAAGATGTCGTTCAGGAACAGAACAGCTTTTCAAAGACGGTCGACGGAGGTTTACGGACGTTTGTCAGAGCCAAAGATAGATCCAAAAACTGAACAAAGGAGGAAACCATCTCAAAGATCACTAGATTCTGGAGACTTGAAGTTATCTTGGAGTAAAAGAATTTGCTTTAATATGCGGTATGTAAACGTATTAAAGCTGAGCTAAAAGCTGATTTTCAAAACGCGTTAATTTTACTGCAGGAATCTCTGCTGCTGTGGGAAACCAAATAATGAGTAAATTGAGTCAAGAGCAACACTTTTATAGTATGCTGAAGTCGTAGAGGCAAGGAGCTTATTTAAATACATATTAACAAAATTAAAATGTAATTCCGTGATACAATTTAAATTAAAAAAGCCATTTTTCAAAAAAGTATTTACAATTTTCTTTATAAATTGAATACAATAAAATGCATTACATGCACTTCAATTAAGCTGATTATTCTTATCAGGATGTAATATGTACTGCAAATGACAAAACGTCACATGAATTTCCTTATTGCATCATTTTTTGTAAGTATTCATAATACATTTCGAGGAAAAAACCCCACGCAAACAAGTCATTTATTTAAAATTCCCTAGTTGATAATAAACAATATGTATCTAATGTGTGCCTAATTGAATGTTAATAAAAAAATTAATAACAATTTGTAAAGCCAAAATAAAGGTTAAGATATTTAAATTCTGAAAATTTAAGGACAGAACTCTAAGGTGTAGATGCAGTCATTAAAAGATTAGTAGATCAAAGAATCAAAGTCAATCGACCACGTTGTAACATAGTACCCTCTGAAGCGGTGTCTTTATAAATAAATCGTTTACTAGACATTGGATTGTATATAAGTAAAATAAATACTTAACAATACTATTTCTAGCTAAATTTAATTGATTAATAGAATTTAAACTTAATCTAGTTTTTCCAAACAAATTATAGTCCATTGAGGTTCTCTGGAAATCGGACGTTAGGAATAGTATTTCACCTAAAATACTTGATCTGATAGGTGATGAAAAATCATAAAATTTTTTCCGGTGGAAAAGCACTTTCGGTTTTTAGCAAATTGAGTTGCTTGTCTGCGTATGTACAAATAAAATATAGTTAAAATCAAACAAACACGATAAAAAGCTTCAAAACAAAGCTTTGGTAGAAAATGTTGCTAGCAACATCGGTAGCTGTGAAACGCGCGTGTTGGACTCGGATTCAGTTCGTGATTGGTGGCCAACCGAAGATGCAGTACAATCAACAACCGGGGTATCCACATCAGATGCCGCCACCGAGCTACGAGCAAGTGGTCCATGTTCAGGCGCCAGTTCGGGTGGTTCACACAACAGCACCTCCGCCCGTGGTGATCATACAACGTGGGTTGTAATCGCGGCAAAAATAAGCACATTATATAGAATATTCGATTTACAGATCAAGCTGCATTGCCCGTGGGTCCCGATCCCAGCTTCATCACGTGCCCACATTGTCATGTCCAGAAACTGACCCGCGTTGAGTATTCGCCGAGTGTTAAAACACACGTTATAGCCGCCATTCTCTGCATAGTCGGGTAAGATCTCCAGACCTGGTACTCCATCGTATCTTATCACTAATGGAAAATCACAAACAGCCTCTGGTGTTGCGCCTGCCTGCCGTACTGCGCCACCAGCTGCATGAATGCAAATCACTTCTGCGGCAATTGCAACAAGTTCGTCGGCGTGTACAACAGCGATTAGTAATTCCAACAAAATAAATATGTACAACCAAACGAACCGAACCAAATCGAACCGATCACACCCCAACGCACAGAAACCACACATATTATTTACGAATGCGAACATTTTTGGTCAGGTGTCGACAGACAGGCAATGAATTTCCCCTAACAGGGTAAACAATCGGACCGGCGAGCTTTTGGCTTTACTTGATAAGAATACGCGATACCAGTCACTTTTTTCTTTTGACGGCGCTCCCTTGAGTCATTTCCCATCGATTCACACACCCAGTAAAGGCCATAACATGGAGCCCGTCTATCCAGCTGCGCCTTTGGAGGCGCCCAAGGGATCCGAAGCCACGGCGCAGCAGTCGGCTGCGGAGCACCAGCAGCTCCTCCCTCCGGCACCACCAAGCTACGACCAGGCCACATCCATTCCGGCCGAGACCACGGGACCAGCTCCGGACAGACCAGCCACGACGGTCCCCAGCACCACCGCCCAGCACACGGTCGTGGTGGTGCCCAGTTCACCCTACGGCCCGGAACCCATGGATGTGCAGTGCCCGCATTGCCATAATTACGCCCGCACACGGGTGTCCTACCGCCCCAATTCGCGCACCCATCTGATAGCCCTGATATTGTGCCTGTTCCAGTAAGTACCCAGAAAAGATAGAGCTATGTGTTGGCCAGTCAAGCGCAGTTGGTAAGCAACCACTCTGCTCATTAGATGTACCCAAAATGTGTTCGATATGAAAGTAACCATTACCAAATCTTGCTAAACAAAAAAAAAGATTTTGATATTTGATTTAATTTAGTTAAAGTATTACAAATTTTTTTTGGAGTGGTCAATTAGTTTCGTCATGAAGCCACCACTCTTCCACAAAGATATTACAAAATGTGTTTGCAATAAAAGTAACTATGTCAATGCAATCATCAAAGAACTGGAGTTAACCAGTTTATCTGACTGATAAAAGAGCATAAAATTTATTTTGGTATACACTATTTCGATATTCGCTCTTATCAATGATCTAATTTAGATGGTAAAAAGGTAGATAGGTTGGTATAGAAATATAATATTAACAAAGCAACTTTCCATTTCTTGATCATTCAGGCCAGAGCAAATGTTAAACATATTTTAAAATAGGTCTGTACATAAATTTACTAACCAACGCTTAAAGATTTTTAAAGGCATTTTTGTTTTCAGTGTGTATTAAACTTTTGTATGACTCATTTCGTCTATTATTTCCCTTACAGGTTGTACTGCTGTGTGTGCCTGCCGTATTGCATTTCCAGCTGCATGAACACGAATCACTACTGTGGCATGTGCGATCGTTATTTGGGCACCTACGATCGTAAATGAGATACAAAAGAGTTCTGCAATTTGTACACAATTCCTTCAAGTAATTAGTTAATAAATGGTCAGCAGCAAGCCAACTGAACCAAAAGAATGTATTTCGTATTTGAACGTGGCACTTGAAAAGCTTTAACAGTGCTTAGAAGTTAAGAAAATAAAGCATCTATTTACAAGGTGTTCTGTTATTTGTAATACATGTATTCAAAGTATATGCAAAATTATAATCAAACTGGTTCTTAAAATACCAATTATTGAATTCCAGTTAAAAACATTTTATTATGGTAATACTTTTGTTTGCTCTTTCATTAAAGTGAAATGTTTATCATATTTAAGAACTGTAAGTTTTGTATTTTTTTAATATTAAGTTCAAGGGCGTTTGATAACTCTCTCATTTATTTACCAAAAGCTTAGGTAATTACCGCATTTTTTGGTCCGCACTTCGCTACAAGTATCTTTATCGGACATCCTATTCTCTTACGTGAGATAGGTTGGATAAACAATGATACTCACTGTGTGCATTAGATAAAGCTCGGTAAACAGTATTCGAGAGATACTTTCGGTTTTGCAACAGCCCGAAAATGATTGCCCAACCGGCTGGTCTGAGAGCTTTTCCAAGCTCGCTCCGATCTGAGCCAAAAACTTGAATGCGATTCCGAAACTGAATCTTTACCTGAATCCGAATCCGCTGGCAGTTGTGAGCGGCGATCGAAGTGCAAAAGACGCCGTCTAGTAGTTAAAACGCAAAGTAAACAAATTCGCCTGCTGAACGAGAACCGGAATCTCTTACTCATTACAAAAGAAATCGAAAATCAAAGCTGAACTTCGCACTTAAACTAGGGCTTTAGAGCGATCTTGAAGATGGATCAGAAGCGAGCCATGTTGTATCCCCAGGTGGATTTCAACACCCCCAGTGCCCCCTCGCCCACGCCAACGAGGGAGTTGGGCAATCCCATGGGCCTGCCCGTGGAAGCACCTCCGTCTTACGATATGGCGGTGTCTGTTCCGGTGGTTCCAGTGGTTTCCGCACCAGCAATTGCCCCAGCACCACCGACAGTGGTTGTTGTGGAGCAGCCAGCACCACAGCCGCCTACAGTGGTGCCGATTGGTTAGTAGTTAATTTGGTAGTTTTGGCGTAAAGCTCTCCTGACGTCACTTTTTGCTGTTGCAGATACTCTGCACTTGGGCCCGAATCGAAGTAGGGTTCTTTGTCCCGCCTGTGGGGCCAACAAAACCACCAGGATGACACATACAGCTAACTCCAGGACCCACATGGTAGCAGGTCTACTCTGCCTAGTAGGGTAAGTTTGGTTTCTCTAAAGTAATTAAGAATAATAAGTAAATTTCTATATCACGTCCTAATCAATGTTATGAATCAGCATTTCCTATCTTATGGCCGTTTACTAGCACTCATTTTAAACTAAGAGCAGGTCTTATAGGCCTTAAGCCTTTATCTTTAGTTTACCATGAGAACAGAAAAGCGGTCCTAATATGTAAAATACATTTTGAGCACTTTTAAACTAAACTTTTAAAACTAAGGAACTCTCAAATTCAAAAAAAAATGGCAAAACACATAAAATTAACTCTAAAAATTTTTAAATTCTTTAGCTGTACTTAAATTTAATTTGTAATTTCAAAGTAGTTACAGTAGTTTCTTACAAAAATAAAAAATTTAAAAAATATAATAATTTAATAGCTAAAAATACTTTTTCATCAAAATAAATGTAAATAGTAATAGTAATAGTTATATATTGGCTATTATACCATCATTAGATCTTATTAATTTCTTCCCCATTGTTATCTTTTTCAGTTTTTGCTGCTGTGCCTGTTTTGTTCCCTATTGCATGAATAGTTGCCGCACAGGAAATCACTATTGTCGCAAATGTAACACCTTCCTGGGAGCCTACAATCCAAAAGGGTTAAACTCATGATAAGACTGCGTAAGATGTGATCCGGTAGATAGAAAACAAGATAGAAGAGTTCCAAGTTATAAATAAACACAAATCAGCTGATGTTTGTCAGTATAAATTAAGATTGTACAGCAGCCGTTGGCTAAAAAGATAAATGTTAAAGAGTATCTAAAGGTAAACAAAAGTGAGCATCAATTTCTTGATTTCTTTGTTGTTCAAAAAAAGATTTACATTTAAAATTAATAAACACTATAATAAACATAAGCAAAACCGCTTACCTTCGCCTTTGTTGCTCAGAAGCTGGCCTTTGGCTGGCGAAAAAAAAATAAGCGTGGGTTAAAGCTTCGCTTGGTTTGACAATAAAAACAAGGAAGAACGCTATAGTCGAGTACCTCGACTATCAGATACCCGTTACTCAGCTATATGGAGATATGCAAGCAGCAAAGCGAGATTAAAATGCGCCACCTACCGGCGGTATACAGATTTAAGCGTTATGGGCGTTAGAGTGGGCGTGGCAAATTTTTTTTTGGATCAATCGATAGGTATCGACGAGACCAATACATTTCAGTTAAAATTTTTTATCTAGCATGAAAATTGTGGGCGTCACAGGTTTTCGCGGTTTGTGGGCGTTAAAGTGGGCGTGGCAAACTTTTTTTTGGGTCAATCGATAGGTATTGATGAGAACAATACATTTCAGTTAAAATTTTTATTCTAGCATCAAAACTGTAGGAGCCACAGTTTTGGGCGGTTTGTGGGCGTTAGAGTGGGCGTGGCACTGTGCCGAAACAAACTTGCGCTGCGTAAGAAGCTCAGGAATCTGCACGCCAAATCTCAATAGCCTAGCTCCCATAGTTTCCGAGATCTCAGCGTTCATCCGGACGGACAGACAGACGGACAGACGGACAGACGGACAGACGGACAGACGGACAGACGGACAGACGGACAGACGGACATGGCTAGATCGACTCGGCTAGTGATCCTGATCAAGAATATATATACTTTGTGGGGTCGGAAACGCTTCCTTCTGCCTGTTACATACTTTCCGACGAATCTAGTATACCCTTTTACTCTACGAGTAACGGGTATAACAAAAGAAAACAGATGACAAGCAATTTTGAATTAAAACAGTTTTGGCGCCCAAATCAGCAGAAGAGTTGCCAGATGAAACGATACGCTAACCAACACTATGTATGCACTACTATCGATGTATCGATAACCGCGAATTGAGCAATCGAACGATATGGCAATGCTGCCGCAGCCAAAAAGACAATTGCAGAAAGTTTTTTTCACAACAAAAAGCCACCGAAAACGCTCGAATTAAGCAACAAATGCGTGCCAAAAGCGCAGCGAATCTCCACTGAGGCCACCGTGTGTTCGTGGGCGTGGCAAAGGTGGTCGCACAACAACAGAACATCACAGGAACGGAGCGCAGGCAGCAGCGCAGCAGCAGCAGCAGCAGCAGCAGAGGGGCGGGCAGAGGCAGAGGCGGCGGCAGAGGGAAAAGTCGGGCATTTTCAGCTGCTTCTTCTTCTCCGTTGGATTGGATTGGATTTGGATTGTTGTTTTCCCAGCGGCGCCCAGGCGTTTCTCCTCTCCACGTATATTATGGACAAGAAATCCTCGCCGGTGCGACGACAAAAGCGGCAGGCGAAGGTGATCGAGGAGAACTTCTGGGACTGCAGCGTCTGCACATATAGAAACTCGGCGGAGGCCTTCAAGTGTCGCATGTGCGACGTGCGGAAAGGTGAGTGACCCCAATTCCCATTCCGAATCCCAAGATTCCCCAGATTGCCAGGCACGCGTTCCGGTTTTCACTTTCTCGATCGACTATTGAGTGGGTTTTGGAGGGATTTGTTCATCCATCTGCCAATAAACACATCGTAATGTATGTAAACATCAGTGTTGGTACTTGGTGTATCTTATAGATACACTACCTGGCCAATAAAAGCAATTATTAAATGTTGCGAAAATCATGAATTTAATATGTCTAGTTATTTCAACACTTTTTGCACTTATAAATAATTGCAATAAAATTGTTTAAATTACAATATTCACTTTTTTCTGACAGTCTGCTATAATATAACTTCAAAATGTTTGTTTAATTATTCATATTCATGAAATACTTAACTACAACCAAAAATTACCGTTTGTTTGAATCTTAGGCTTATCTGATGTTTGCCTAAATACTTATTAGTGTCGTCATGCATATTTCATATACCGGTTTATTTACACATTTTGTGCTTTTAGAGATTTATAGTGAATATCTTATTTAGCTTGATGTATTTTTTGTGGAAAACTAATGGTTACCAATATTTAATAATAACTCAAAGTTATTGTATAAATTTAATAATGTTGATAGAAAATATATTATGTAACCTCTGCTGTATATAGACTTTACAACTCAGTAATTTTCATAATTGAAACCAATCAAACCTGATTAAATTATGAGAAACTGAAAACCGAAACACGCCTGATGAATTTACTAGGTCACTCACTAATTTGAAACTCTTAATCACCAGGAACATCCACGCGCAAGCCGCGCCTGAACTCAGCGCTAGTCGCCCAGCAGGCCGCCACTTTGCCGGGCGCCAGCGCCAACATGCCCAACGGGAAGTCCGCCTCCGGGTCGCGGCATGGCAGTGGACACGACCGGCAGAGGCATAAGCGCTACCCGGCCCGGTTGAAGAACGTGGACCGATCCACGGCGCAGACGCGCGAGGTGACGGTCAACTCGGTGACCGTGTTCATCACAGAGTACAAGGCCAAGCCGGTGAGCAGCCGGCGCGAGTCCAGCGAGCAGAGCTTCAGCGAGAGCAACGACAGCTGGAGTTAGAGGGGGCACTCCATGCCCCCTCCTCCTTACGCCCAGCTCCCCAATATTCTAAGCCACGGTGCCCGGTCCCCTGTTACAAGTTGTAAATTCTAAGTGTTAGGCCCCTGGCGATAACAATTGTAAATCGAAATCCGTTTAAGTTACCAAGTATTAGGCCACATTCAGAGCCCCGAAAGCCACGCCCCACAAGTTCATGACTTCCAGCCCAGGCCAAGTTGGCGAAGCTAAGCGAAGCGACGGCGAGTCGATTGCATTTACACGACGCTCTCCAAATCCAATCTTAAAATACGCTAAACCCTGTAAATAGCGATGCATGAGTTCCCTGAATATCTCTGTCTCGTATCGTAATTTTAGTTGTAATTTAATTCTGCTACTCTAATCCCTAATTTATTGATGAAAAGGCAACTATGTATAACCGCCGTGTACATGTTCAACAAAGATATCATTTGTTTTGTAAGTGTCGATTAAAATATGGTTTTACTAAGTGCAAGCTAATCTCAATGTTCCACTAGCAGCGCCCATCTCCAATGGTTTGTTTACCTATTATAACCTATACTTTTTTTTAAAACTAGAAAATGCTGCTTGACAACGAAGAGTAGGAAGGAGCGAGCCACGTAGCTTGGTTGTAGACAATTTGCTAATTTTAATTTGTTTGTATACAAGACTGATTAAGCGTTACCAACCAGATATATAGACGCCCCACACGCACCCAGCCCGAGTCCGATTCATATTTGATTTTCAACCAGGAAGGAGATCCTTCCAGCAAACAATAGACGAATACTCGAACTCGCAAAGAGACAATTTTGTACTTAGCAGAGCCTAAACGCTCTTCCACCATAGCAATAATTACTTAGCAAACAAACAAACAATGAAAAAACAAGAATTTTGATATGAACGATTGTATTTAATATTGGATAACGGATATAATGGTTTATAAAGTGCTTGATATTTGTATTTTGAGATAGATTATTTAGCCACACAAAAACACTCACACACACTCCTCAAAAACTGCCGACTGTAGTCAAAGAATAACTTCCAATAGACAAACTTCAATTTGGATTATCGTGAACATTTACAATTAATATGAACAGTTTGTATTCCAAATGCTTGGCCAGTTGAGCATTAATCAACAGCAACGACAAAGACAAAACTTATGCAAAAGCAATTAAAGCCGCACTCAACACAACCACACGGATAGTTAAAACTTAAATTCCAATTGTAAAGCATAAACTTTTAAAGCATTATAAAATACATTAAATAAATTTCGAAAATGCTATTCCAAATCGTCGTTGTCTTCTCTCCTGCCCTTAACAGTTGAGTTTAATATTTTTTATTTGAGCTTATCCGACTTGCTAAACTTTTGTTGCCAAGTTTTATTTTTGATTCTTTTTATGGCTGACATTCGGCCTAAACTTTAAAGGTCTTTAAAGAGCAAAGGAGCAGAGAGACCCACCCTGTGTGGATGCCAGCACATCCCCGGTTTCCCCAGGACCCCTGGACCACCCACGCGTCGCCTTTCCCTCCCCATTTTGCTGTGTGTGTGTGTGTGTTCCGGAGGGGGGGAGCACCATCTGTATCTGTATCTGAGTATCTGCTTACGCGTGCTCCCGGCCTCGAGTTTTCGGGCCTCAGATCAGTGCGGGGTTTCTGCCAGAGTTTCGGTTTCAGATGCACGGCAAATGGGAGCAGGAGCTGGAGATGGTGCTCCAGTCGGAGCGGGTGCTGGAGCCACTGTCTCTGGTCGATGGCTACGCCTTTGGCAGCTGCCTCAACTTTTCGCACAGAGCCGGAGCACATCGCACGCTTCGCAAATAAATTACAAATTGTTTCGTTCCAGCTATGCTGCCACAGTCGAACCTCCCTAACTCCAACCACCATCTGCCGCATTTTAAATGTATGCATGTGTACCTAGTCAGAATGTTATTCTGATGCTATTCTAAAAATAAAACTTATTTAAATTTGAAATACTCACACAACATTTATTTAAATTTAAAATCCGATTTTTTAAAAGAATAACAATATCGTTTTCCTAATACAATAAAACACACTTTTAATGGGAAATTTGTATTTAACTACATAAGTAGTTCTTAATGAACAATATTAATCAGCTAGACCAGTTACATTATTTTAGCCGCAAAAGTTATTTATACAATTAACTTAATAAAAGCCGTTAAAAATCAACAGTCATTTTTGTATGTTGTTCAATAAAAGAATACATACATCAAGTAAAAATTATTATTTTGAATAGAGGGATTTGTTGTAATTTATGTTACTAAAGGCAGTTTTTTA